TTCTGGATCACAGCAGGCCTCCTGGGAAAGGTGCTCAGAGCTGGGTCTGGCCCATTTGATATTTGGATGAATCCACACGTTCTGACTGGAACAAACCCCTTCCAACCTGCTCTCCCTGTGGAGGAGGCAGATGGAGGGCCGAGCGTGACGTCCCCCCGGAGCGCGCGGTGTGGGGCTCCTTCCAACATTCCCATCTGGAGATACCACTGGAGCAGAGCACTTCTGCTGGACTTCGGCTTTCCATCTGCCATAAAAGCGCTTTTAATGAGTGGGATGGAGCTGGTTAGTGAAACTCTCGGACCGTTAATGGATGCCGAGGTTTTTAACGTGCTGTTTGACTTTATTGACGGAATGAGCTCATCGGAGCGAGCGCGCCGGCTGAGGAAACCCAGGCGTGCTGGGGGGGAACAATGTGCTGCCTTTGCACGGCTCTCTTGTCCTCTGGATGGATCCTGGAGTGTTTTTCGAGTGGCACGTGTGGAGCTCTGTGCTGGTGGGGGGATGTCCCCGTTCCTTGCTGTGTGCTGGTGGGATTGAGGTGGGAAAAACCCTCTCAGACCTTCAAGTCCAACTGTTCCCCCAGCACTGCCAAGGCCACCACTAACCCATGACCCCAAGTGCCACATCCACAAGGCTTTTCAATCCCTCCAGGGATGGGGACTCCCCAGGCAGCCCTTTCCATGAAGGAATTCTTCCCTAATACCCAATCTCAACCAAGTAAGAGGCCTGCCACTAAAATCAATTTCTCGGAGCAAACTGGAGTAAAGTCAGGAAGGAATTCTCTGAAATTGCCCACAGAATCCTTGAGGTTGGAAAAGCCTTCCAGGACCATCAGGTCCCCCCCCCATGCCCGATGCCCACCTTGTCCCCCAGCCCAGAGCACTGAGTGCCACAGCCAGGCCTTCCTTGGACACCTCCAGAGGTGGGGACTCCAAACCTCCCTGGGCAACCCCTGCCGGTGCCTGACCAGCCTTTCCAGGGAGAAATTCCTCTTGAGAGGAAAGGAGGAGGTCAGGAGGGCCCGACCTGGCGGTCAGGTGGAGTGCTGAAGTGTGAGATTTGGAGGTAGATAGATATATATCTAAAGCCACTTTCACTCTCTTGCTTCTCTTTACCATTTTTTCCATTGAAAATCTGTGAGTGGTGCTTATCCCTGGAAATGCTCCGCAGTCAAATCCCATCATCAGTGGGAGCTCCATGGGGTGCAGGGGGTGAGACATTTCTGTTGCTGCGTGTTTGGATGGAGAACAAGTGGGGGGTGTAGGACAGGAATGGGTTTGGGTCCCTCCTGCTCCAGCAGTTCTGTTTGGAACTTTAGACCTGGAGTTGCAAAAACCTGCCAGTGCAATTTGTAATATGTCAAAATCTGGCCCAGGTCAAGGGCAGGTTTTGGTGAAGACTGTGCTTGATTCCATTGGTGTGTCTGTAGTTGTTTTGTTCCTCAGTATCTCCACTGTACATTTAAAAGTTCAGAGGAATCTCCATCTACGTAAGTATTTCTAAATATTTTTAAAGTATAAATATAAATATTTATAAATATAGCACGTCATAAAGTATTTGTTAATATATATTTGTAAATATTACAAATGTATAAATATTATTAATACTGAGCTCTGCTTTTTAGGGATAAATATGGGTATTTTTTAACACATTTGTTCAAACCCCAGTATATGACATGTGAATTTTAAAATGCTTTCGATTCTAAATAATTCCTCTGGCTCTAAATGAATCTTCTTCAGCCCTAATGAGAGTTGTGTGGGCAACTGTGCAATGTATGTCTTGAGGTTTATTATTTCCTTTTTTCTGTATTAAGTGTGGTCATAACACGTGGGTTCCCTCCTGTCATCTTGTGGGAAGGAAACACGGAGCCTTTGCCTTGTTTGGATACCAAATTTGGGCTGTTCCCTCGCCCCATGATAATTCCCAGTGAGTTGGGAAGGTGCTTCCAGCCCTTCTGGAATCTCAGGGCTGATGTCTCCGAGGAGTGTCCAGGTGTCCTCTGACATCAGGGGGTCCCATGGCAGGGAAGGGATGGAGAAAGGGGAAATTAGAAATAGGGTGGAAATTAAATATTTTTGCTGTTGTCGTCTAATGGGAATCTTTTTTTACCCGTGCCTGTGAAAACTTTTGGGAAAAACCACGTAAATAATTTCTAGGAAGAGTTTAACAAACACACTGTGGTGCAGGGAGAGTTGACTCTGGGGCAGCAGGAAGGACTGGATGGCTCTTGAGGTCTCCTCCAGCCTTCTGGTAATTCTTTTCTCTTTAAATGAATGAAAGTCCTTCCAGACATCCCAGTTTTGGCTTTTCTGCTCCAATGGCTTAATCCCAGCAAGCCCCAGCGCAGTGAGGTGACTTTGTCCTTGTGCTCAGACGGAGCCCTGGGCTGTGTTTAAGAGTTTACAGCCCATTGTTGTTCCTTCTGGACAAATATACAGTCTGGGACACAGAATATGAGCTTCCTCTACCTACTGTATGTTTATAACAATCTGTGATTTCCAAAATAAAAAATAAATAAACCCCAGCCAAACAAAGGAGTGCAACCTGTAAAAAAGTTATGGGTGTAGGTGCCCGTTTTCTGACAGAGGGGTTTGGGAACAGTGCAGGGGACAGAAATGTAAGGAATAATTGTTTTTGGGCCTAGAACCAGGAAAACTACTTTTCCAAATTAATCCAGCGAGAGCCATGAATCCACAGTATTTCATATCACACTTCATAAAACTCCAGTCATAATCCATAAAACTGACATTATTAGATTAAAAAACCTCAGTTCCTCCTAGAAGGAGCTCGCTCATTAGACATGCTGTAGTTTTATAACCTTAAAGTTCCTACCCAATTACCATGATTAATACTGTGCTTTAATAAAAAATTTCTCAAAATCACCACAGGGGTTGATCCCATCTGTTTGTTATAATTGTGCATTTAAATATTGCCCAGCAAGAGAAAGACACTGTAAACACAAATCAGGAGCAAGGTGGGGAGGGCACAACCCATCCAAGGCAGCAGAGATCCCAAGGGTGGAGATAGGGAGATACAGCTGGGTTGGGATGGGGCAGGAGCATGGAAGAGCCAAGGCTGGCATGTGCTAAAGATTGGGATTGCTGAGAGATGTGTGTGATAAACTCTACTTCTTTGTGTGGAAGGAGCAGCCTGGGAGTGTCCAGCCTGGAGAAGAGAAGGCTCCAGGGAGACCTTAAAGCCATTCCAGGGCCTGAAGGGGCTCCAGGGGAGGTGGAGAGGGACTGGGGACAAGGGATGGAGGGACAGGACAAGGAGGAATGGCTTCCACTGCCAGAGTTAGATGGGATGTTGGGAAGGAGTTTTCTCCCTGGGAGGGTGGGCAGGCCCTGGCACAGGTTGCCCAGAGGAGCTGTGGCTGCCCCAGCCCTGGAAGTGTCCAAGGCCAGGTTGGAGCAACCTGGGCTGGTGAAAGGTGTCCCTGCCCATGGCAGGAGGTGGCACTGAATGGGCTTTAAGGTCTCTTCCCACCCAAACCATTCAGTGATGATGATGATGAAATAAGATAAGATAAACTCCTGCAGCCACGGCCACGGGGCCGTTTGCTGGGACACCCACCATGAGCAGGTCTGAAAAACCCTGCTTTCCTGTGAACTGCCTTTGAAGCCTGAGTCCCTTTGAGGTTTGTCCTTGCAGATCCCAGGGGTCTGTGGGGCTCAGGGCAGGGAGCACCACACGACCCCCTGTCTGAATCCGCAGGAGCTGCAATTCCAGAGGAATTGTCAGTTCACGATTCCACCCACAGACCAGAAAACGCCAAACTCGTATTATTTTTGAATCCCCTGATTTTTTTTCAGTGCTGCTGGAAATAAGATCTGTTTGCTTCTGACTTCTGAGCAGTAACGAGGTGAATCACTGCTGCAAACACCTCCCGTGGACCACCCAGCTCCTCAGAGCTGGAAGCCACGAGTGCCAAAGTGCAGAACTATTTTCTTAACACGACTGAGGTTGCACGAGGCAAAACACTCCAGAAAAGGAGCAGAGTCCCCTAACGAGGTGGCCAAGTGAGAAGTGTGTTAATGAACACAGGCTGATTAATTTGCATGGAACCAAATCACATCTGGGTCAAAGGGGGAGCCCCAAACCCTGAGTGTAACATGTTCTCCTCAAGGACCCAACATGTGCGTGTGATTCAGATTTAAATAGCTTTTTCCCCCCCTCATAATTCTGGATAATTGTCCAACTCTGCATAAATTCTTTTTTTTTTTTTTAACTAAATAATAGTTAGGATTTTTGTTCCTCGCTGTGATTGGTCAGACCTTTCATTTTTGTAAGATTCTGTGACTTTCTGAAGAGTCCTGCTGGGCTTTTAAAAATCGTGGCTTGCAAATCACCATATCAAAAAACATGGTGCCAATCACATAAAATACAGAATTACATGGGTTTAACATTTATTTGTTGTCGTTTTTAATGAGAAAACATGGATCTTTTTTAACAGAATGCTGGCTGAGAGTCCTCAGAGCAAAATTGTCCATCTGTTATTGATGTTTGTACGTGGAATAATGTTTTGGGAGACCAGCTCTTAATCTGGGACACCAACCTCCACACTGAGCCTGTTTCAGGACACGTCAGGGGAGTCACCCTGGAATAAACCATAGGGAAATTCTGGGTTATGCAGATATGTCGAGGAGGGGGACTTAATAATTAAGACTTTGTAATTGGGAGGTTTGGGTCCTGGTCCAGGTTCACAGAAGCTAAAATTTAAAAAAAAAAAAAAAAAAAGCTGTCACAGAGCCCTGGGCAGCAGCACCAGGAGCACCGTGGAAATCAAGTCACTCCATACCCCTGGCTGATCCCTCTCCTGCTGAAAAACAGGGAAAAGCTCCCACTGTGAGCTCAGGAAGACATCTGGGCAGGGAGGAAAGGTTTGCCGTGCTGGGAGATCGGCAAAGTCTGCGTTAGGGCGCCAAAATGCACCACCCCGCTTTCCTGGCGGAATTTAAGGAGATTAAACACCTGCTGGCGCCTTCTTCCCGTTTCAGGTGCTTCTGATCATCAGTGGGAACCTGAGTTTCCTGAACTGGCTGACCATGGTGCCCAGCATCGCCTGCTTCGACGATGCCAGCCTGGCATTCCTGTTCAGCCCCCGGCGCGGGGCCGTGAGGGAACGGGCGGCGCGGATGCAGCTCCGACAGGGACAGGGGGAGAAGCTTCCCCTGGGTGAGTTCTTGCCAGAGGGGGAAAAGTTGGCCAGATGTGCTTGGCTCCAAAGCTCTCATCTCCTTTGGAGCTCAGCTGGGCAGGCAGGGAGGGCCCTCTGTGGGGTGGAGGCTGCCTGGACCTCGTGGTGCTGGTGGTGACGTGAAGCTGGTGGTTGGTTCATGGGGCACTGTGGGGACACTGCCAGGGGGAGATTCCCATGGGGACATTGCTGCCAGGACACATCCTCCATGCAGGGCTGGCGTCCACAGCAAGTCCAGGCAGCTGCAGCTCTTGAAAGTCCCTGCTCTTTGCTCTCATCCCAGCAAGCATCAGAATCCAACCCAAAATAAGGAGCTGGAGCTGCACAATTTATCTTGTGATTATTATCTTTTTGTCTTTTTGTTTTTCTTTTAATTTTGACCATTTGAAGTTAAGGATGAAACACCCAGTGTGATCTGAGGTGGGGTTAGGAGCTGGCTGTAGAAGCAGCAGTGTCCTCTCCTGCTCTCTCCTCCGTGGCACGGTGGTGAAGAGAAGGCTCCAGGGAGACCTTGGAGCCCCTTCCAGTGCCTAAAGGGGCTCCAGGAATGCTGGAGAGGGACTTGGGACAAGGGACTGAAGTGACAGGACAAGGGGGAATGGCTTCACACTGACAGAGGGCAGGGAGAGATGGGATACTGGGAAGGAATCCTTCCCTATGAGGGTGGGCAGGCCCTGGCACAGGCTGCCCAGAAAAGCTGTGGCTGCCCCATCCATGGAAGTGTCCAAGGCCAGGTTGGACAGGGCTTGGAACAATCTGGGCTAGTGGAAGGAGCAGCTGCCTGTGGCCACCACTTGCTAACAGGGGCAGTGTCACAGCAGGGAGTGAGTTCTCCAAAGCAGGGAAGAGGTGAACTCATGTTCAGACCATGAATATGGAAAAGCAAATACAAGGGGGGTTGTAAGTGGAAAAAAGGGATTGGTGTTCCCTTCCCAAGGCAGTTTTCCAGCAGCCCTGCTCCAGAAGAAGCAACAGTGGGATGTTTCTCGTGGTGCTGTGTAACAGATGTAGAGTTGTGTTTGTAGCATTTTTCAAAACCACACATAGGCAACAAATTGCCTGTAATATCAACAGCAATCACAGATGCTCATCTTTAAATACACTGAACATCTGTCAGACAAATGAAAAGTGTCAACAAGACTCAGCATCCCTCTTCAGTCCTTTCTCATCTAGCAAGAAGCAGCTTATTAACCAAAAATGTTGGTTCCAGCAGCTAATGCAGCTTCATTAAACTTTCTGTGTCCCTTATTTTACAGATTTTGCTGGGATAAACCTTAATCAGCTTTTCCCCTCCCGTAGCTTTGCTTTAGGGGCTAGGAGAGCCTCAAGCTTTCCTACCAACTCTGTTCATGCCTCCAGTCCTAAACAACACTCAGGTTGCACCTTCCTTTGAGGAGGAGAAGCCAAAGGGCCCCTCTTTGCTCTGAGTCACCATGAGGGGAAGGAAGATCCTGGGTTTGAGGCTCTTGCTCCTTTTTTGTCATGTTCCCCAGAAAACCTGACTAAGCCAGGGTGAGCAAGGAGAACCATCCCTGCATCCCTCCATACTGCTCTAGAGGGTTGGTGTGTCCCTGTTCCAAAATGGGAATCCATAGGGGTGGGATATCTGTAATATTCTGGGAATTTGGATTTCTGTGTGTTTTTTCTGCTGAGAAGGCAGGGGTTGTTGAGCTGTGTGCCAAGAGGCCCAGAGGAGCCCTCACCCCTGGGTCAGCAGAGCAGAACAGGAGGGTACCCAGCCATGCCCTGCTCGTGACCTGATTTTAGAAGGCTCTGGCCACATCCTTGAAGGGTTTGTGTGATTCCTGCTGAGACCTCCAGCTCCCATCCAGATCCCATTGGCTCATGTCCCGTGCTCCCTCCCCAGGTTTTGCTCCATCCTTGCCATCTGGATTATTTTTTTCCTTGGATTCACCCCTTTTTCTCTATGGCTGAGCAGCTGTGACCCCAAGGGAATGATGCCAATGATGGTCACCACCTGCTGAGGGACAAACACTCCATGCATGGCCGTGGACTGTGAGCTGAGGAGCCAAGTGGGGGGCTCTGTGTCTGTACCTGCTCTTTAATTACAGGGTAGGAAGTTCAGCCTGTCTAAAATAGGAAAAAAAATGCCCCGACAGGCTCACCCACAGCAGCCCAGGGAGCGAGGGGAGGCATCTCCTTCCCCATTCAAATGATTCTCCAGAAATGTTCTCAGACTAAACAATTATTAAGAGCTTCTGAGAGAGGTTCAAATAAACATCCCTCTCCTGCAGAGATAAGGGGAAAGCTCCACACAATTGCTTTGAATCTGATCCTTTGGCTGTTAATGTTAAATAAATTGAAAAGGGCCGTGAGGGAAGGAGCCCCTCGGGGGTCACCTCTGCTTATTTGTCTCATCGTGGCTGTGTCTGTCCACACCGGGATCCTGTGCTGCTCCTGCAAACCCCACTCCAAAGGGCTGGCAAAGCAGCACAGGTCTCATCCAGAAATGCTAAGGAGCAGGGATTTTGGAGGAGGAACATGAGCCCAGATGGTCAGAGCCTGGGGCAGCAGGAGGAGGCAGGAACGGGGCCGCGGGCGCTGGAGGAGCTCCACGCACGGCTCCCAAACCAGGAGGGTGATTCTGGGCAAGGTGCAAGTGCCAGCTGTGGTTTTTTCCCCCGTATGAGAGCGGTGATTAATGTTACATTGCAGACATTTTTCCTTTTAGCCCTTTCTCAGACTATTTAGAGACAGGCAGATCCGGGCAGCGATAGCCGAGGTCGGGGTGGGGGGACGGCGGCTGGGCCAGCACGGGGGGGTCCCCACGGGGAGGGGGAGCAGAGCCCACCACGGGGAGTGAAATCACCTTCCTCTGGCCTGGTTCTGTGTCCCACACAGGCTGCCACATCCGCAGGGTGGTGAACATCTCCTTCGGCCTCCTCCTTGCCTACCTCAGCGTGCCCGTGGTCCTGAACCTGCTCAACTCCAGACAAGTCATGAACACCTCCTTCAACCCCCTCAGGATAGTCAACACCTACGGAGCTTTCGGGAGGTACACGTTGTTTAATGGCACTTCCTGTGGCTCTGCTCCTCTCCCCAGGTTATTCCAGAGCCGCACAGTCTGCGTGCCTTCAATCTGAACAGGAATCCTTCCAGTAGACTGGGAATATCTGAGGGAGACGTGGAGAAAAGGAGCAGGTTTCTTTCCCACTGAACTACATTTTATGGAATATCTGTTTGTGAGAAGGAAGGAGAGAAGGAGCAGGTTTCTTTCCCCCCGAATCACAATTTATTTTCTTCGAGCTGCTTTTAATTGGCTCGTTGTGTCGATGCAGCAAACGGAACAGCGGGATGAAAATCTCCGTAAGAGAGTTCATCCAGTGGATACTCTTCACCATCACCAGCCCTCTTTATTTATGGGGAACCTCTCTTCCCCTGTGCACGTCTGCTCTCCCTCATGTAAATATTCACAGCAGTTCTTGGGTAGCAGATTTCGGGCCAACAAAAGGAAGTGCTTTTCCCAATGAGCGACTTGGGGAATTCACTGCTACAGGAAACTGTGGAGACGAAAGTATAAATGGCCTCAGAAAAGAAGATTTGAGAGGACAAGGCCAACAGCAGCCTGGCTGCTGCCTCCAGCTCAGGAAATCCCAGTCAGGGCTGCAAGGTGGGGTGGACAAGGGAAGCATCTCCAGCTGGGCTTGGAACCAGACTGGTTTGGGCTGGTTTTTAAGCATCTGAGTCTGGGTTTTTCTGGTGACTTCAGCTTAGGTGAGGCACAGCAGGGCTCAGCATAACCCTTCTTGTGTGCTGTCCCTCCCAGCCTCTTCCAGCTGGGAGAAAACAGGGCCAGACCTCTCTCCATGAACCTCTGGCTTTGCCACCACCTGGTCATGGTGGCCATGGGATGTTCCCCAGGGGCCTGAGAGGAGGGGTAGGACGGGCAGCTCTTGGTTAGTGGTCTCTGGACAAGGTCTCACAGGAGAAGCCAACAGTAAATCAGTATATTTTAGTGCAGGTGAAGCAGTTTGGCTGTTAAAGGTCTGGCCAAGCAGCTGCTGAAGGGGAGGAGCAGGTCTCACCACGGGCACTGGAGATGCAGAGGACACATCAGATGAATGTGATGTTTTCCCCAGTTTTTCAAACAGCAGAAATTTCTGTGGAAAGGAAAAAAAACTAGGAAAAAAATTATTAAAAATACCAACTAGGAAAAAGAAAATATTAAAAATACCAACACTGATTGTTGAAAAATGCCAAAATTTCTCCTCTTTTTTGAGAGTGGGAGAAATAACCCCTGAACCTCTTTGAAGGCTGGAGTGGGGAAGCTACGGGAGATTGTTTTCTTTGGGTTGTTGTTCTTTTTTCTTCTTCAGTCTATGGTTTCTGTTTCAACAGTTACCAGAACCTAAAGAGCATGTGATGAAATGCTGCTGTAATATGTTTGTAATTCCAGCCTGTGTAAACCAATAAAAAGAGGATTGCAGCTTATAATGAATATACGATTATGTGAAACTTGACATATTTTGAATCACACAGTAGGAACATACTTTTATTAGTAATTTGGTGTCCCTGATTTACAGTGTGTTTCTAACCATTGGGCAGCTGGCCATGGCTCATAACTCAGCCCAGTGCATAATACGGGATTTGGCTGGAGAATCCAGAAATCTATTAAATGTAGGTAACAATTATAAGCACAGAATTCCTTGGGTTGGGAGCATCTGTCCCTGGGAGCATCAGGGAAGAAGTTGGAGGCTGCTTGTTTCCAAGCTTTTGGTTTTTTGGGTTAGAGAAAGAGAGACCAAAGTATTAAAAATCTGAAGGGGTGTTGGGAGCTGGACAGCTTTGATGGGCAGATTGAGGGAGTTCTGTGTTCCTTACGGAAAGCAGCTCTTGGGGGCAGGGAGTGTCACTGGCAGCCCGTGGAGGACTTGGTGGTGGTGTTTTCATGGGCACTCCCCGTGGCCTGGAGTTTGCCATCCCCACTGCTCTGTCACAGAGGGAGTCACACATGGCCTGCCTCTGCTCCACCCATTTCTGTGGGAATCATCTCTCTGGACCACAGTCCCTCCTGGGACTGGCCCAGCTGCAGGTGAGGGAGGGAAGGACGTGGAATTTGAAGCTTTCCCTGTGCTTTGCTGCTGCACAGGGGAAAGGCTGCTGGGCCCAGAGGTTCTCTGTGACTTGGCCCATCAGGTGCCAGCTGTACCACCAGGCCAGTGACTCATGTTCATGAACCAGTGTTTGTAAATTTGGTATCAGGGAGAAATTGTTCCCTGTGAGGGTGGGGAGCCCTGGCAAAGGTTGGCCAGAAAAGCTGTGGCTGCCCCATCTCTGGGAGTGTCCAAGGCCAGGTTGGACAGGGCTTGGAGCAACCTGGGATAGTGGAAGGTGTCCCTAAGGGAACAAGATGAGCTTTAAGATCCCTTCCAACCCACACCATTCCGTGATTCTAAGCTTTTACATGACTTCAGACAAATCACAGTGTCCTGTTGTATCCCACAGCATTACCAAGGAGAGGACAGAAGTCATCCTTCAGGGGACATCCAGCCTGGATCCCAACGACCCCACTGCTGTGTGGGAGGAGTTTGACTTCAAGTGCAAGCCTGGGGACTTGAAGAGGAGGCCGTGCCTCATCTCCCCCTACCACTACCGCCTGGACTGGCTCATGTGGTTCGCTGCCTTCCAGGTACCTGCCCTTGGCTGCTCAGAGACCTGGGTCTTCCTCGACCAGGAAAAACAAATAGCATGGATTTACCCTGTGTTGGAATGGTGGGGGAACGCTGGAAACCTTGGCTGAGTTAGTTTTATTCCCAAAGGGTGTCTGCTGCTGCTGTAATGGAACTCCTGGCAGTTTTCTGGGAGGTTATTTCATTGTCTCTCAGCAATAGGAAGGATCAGTGTCAGGGGGACACCAGCTCAAACTGCCCACCTGCCTACACGTGGATAAAGGGTCCCTCAAAATGTTTTCCCCACGTGGTATCAGCAGACAGGTGACAGCCATAAATTACATAGGGGGGGGGAACTTGTAACGTTAATTCTCGTGTATCTTTGAGCTGATTTTGCAAACCTTGCCCGCGTGACGCGAGAGCTTGGACTGGGTTTTACAAAACTGAGGCTTGAGTGGCGTGAAGCAAGCCCATCTCAGATTTTCCCTTTGTTCCTGCATCCTCTCCTGGAATATCCTCTTCCCTCCTGCCCCAAACTCCTCCGTTGGCTTCCTCTGTGGTGTTTTCGTTCCGGCGCCGTTGGCATTCCTGGGCGATGACATAACGCTGGCGCTTTGGCCATGGTTTGGGTATTTACCCCGCTGGTTTGTGTGTGCTGGAATTTCATTTAATCTGCATTAGGTATGCTTATCCCCCAGGAAAACCACAGCCAAGCCTCCAGCTCCAGCCGGCAGCGCTGCCGGAAAGGCGCAGAGGGTGGGTGGGAGCTGCTGGTTTAAACCTGGGCTTTGGGAGGAGAAATCAACTCATCCAAGCAAAGGAGGCTCTTTCTGAGATGAGAGAAGGGCTGTCTCCAGGGTAGGAATGTCCTGAAGGTTTTAGAATAGAGAGGGATCTGAGGTTTAAAGCTGAAGGAGGGCTGGGCACGAGTCCTGCCCAGAGGTGAGGCCGTGCCGAGGGATGCCGGTGCATCCCAGTTCCATCTCTCCACAGGGCCAGGCCAGGTGTTCGTGTACCCAGGAAGGAGGAGGAAGAGGAACTAACTCAGCCTCTTCACATCTTTATTATTAGTTTTCAGTCCCTTATTAGTGTTTAGTTCCTCATTATTAGTGTTTGATTCACTGGAAGGTTCCCCCAAGGGTTTCTGCTCACCTGGACACCGGGGGTTGCTGCACAGCAGCCTGTTGAAGTGTGTCCACAGCAGCTAATTAGCAGCAATTAGCACTGTGGGTCTCCTGGCAGTGGCAGGAGGAGAGGGCATCCCTCCCATAGGGTGGGTGTGTCAGTCTGAAGCCCGTCCATCACCTCCCACTATGGAACACCATCTGGAAATGGGTCTGTTGCCCCTTCCCAGCCATCCCAGCATGTGCTACCTACAGTGCTCCCATGTCCCTCTTGCCCCTGGGGACTTCCCTGGGGGCCCTCAGTGCACACAGGTCCCTGTGAAGCAGTTTCAGGTCCTGCTTAGAAGGGGCATTAACAAAAGGTGCAGAAAGGAGAAAAAAACCCTCTGTAAAGTGGAGATGACTTGTGGAAAACAGTGGGAAGGCGCCTGGGCACGGCAGTGAGTGTTTTCAGCTCGGGATGTTCAGGCATGTAAATACCTGCTTAAGCATGGAAGTAAATCCCATTTGGAATGGCCGAGTTTGAGGACTGAGGAGCTGCATATTTGGTGCCAACTGCCCTCCCTGGGCAGCCAGAAAAGCCCCTGTTGTTCGGGTGTTGTTTTGCCTCGAGTCCTGCAGGGCTGTGGAAAGGATGGGGAACCATGAGTTGAAAGCCCAGAAGTTTGTGCAGCCAGAGCAGTTTTTCAAAACCCGCGTGGTAGTTTACAGAGTCCATAAAACCGAGTTACTTCAGCCTCTGGATTAGATTTAATTTGTTTTCAGAAGCTCTGGACTGTTTCTCCACCACCGCTCGCCGCCTGCCCCGTCGCTCCGAGCCGGCGGCCGCGGGGCTGGTTTTGCAGTTCGTTGGCAGTGGCCAGGTAAGGAGCTGACATATCCAGCTCTGACAGGCTGTGGAAAAGCCAAGGACTTGGGGGAAGGATATTTACCATCCCTTTGTGCTGCTTCTGACAGGTTCCTCTTTGCACCTCATCACCGCTTGACATACGACGCCTTCCCGCGCTCGGGGTTTCCTGCAAAACTTTCCACCTTGGCTGTAGCTGTGGGATTCACTTTGAAGCTCTGGAACAGGGGGAACCAGGCCCTTGGCACAGGGAGGGGGAGCCAGGCCCTTGGCACAGGGAGGGGGTGACCACCAGCACAGCCCTGGTGGGGTCTGGTGGTGCTGCTCCACCTCTGAGTCACAATTTATTAGTTGCTGCCTCTTAATCACCGTGCCAGCAGTGCCATAATTACACGTAATGTAACGTGGCATTATTTTCCAGGAAACAATTTTCATGATGTTAATTTTATTATCTAAAAATAATGTGCCTTTTCACTTGTTTTCTAAATCCCCTCTTTGTTCCTGTGTCTCGCCATCTCGAGGGTGCTGTGGCTCTGAACTGAAGCCCTTCATTTCGTTCTGGCAGGGGCAGAACCCATCCAGAAACGTGTCTGAGTTGCTTCTTCCTGTCTGCAGAAGGGGAAAACCCCCCAGGAACGTGGGGGAAATCTGTGGGACCCTTTTCAGTTGTTTCTCAGCAGTGCCTCAGCTGGGCCTGCTGATCCCCTGGGCACTGGGGGCAAAGGGGGCCGGGGGGGCTCCCAGCAAAACTAACGTGGCCATCAGCCAGGAGCTGATCTTCAGGTGCTCCTTGGTCAGGTTGGTCACCCAGGACCACTCACCCCCATCAAAGCCATTTAAACCAAGGGCTGAGTCAACCTGATGCATGTTCTGGGATAATGTGATTTTAACTGAAAGGAATGGCACATTTGCAGATGCCACCAGGCTGTGAATGAACCCTGTGGAGAATCAATCCCTGAATGGTTTTGGGAGGGACCTTAAAGACCACCCAGTCTCACCCCCTGCCACGGGCAGGGACACCTTCCACCAGCCCAGGTTGCTCCAAGCCCTTTCCAGCCTGGCCTTGGACACTTCCAGGGATCCAGGGGCAGCCACAGCTTCTCTGGGCAACCTGTGCCAGGGCCTGCCCACCTTCTGAGAAGGGAGGAAATAGTGGGTGAAATGGCAGAATCTGATTTAATCTCACAAAATTCAGGTTAAGCATTAGGAATAACTTTCCTCCCTTGACACTTGCCTGTGTTAGTGCAAAGCCATCCTATTTCTACAGAAGCTGGAGGCAAATTGTTAAGGCTTTATCTGTCCTCCAGCTACTGATGCCAACCCTCCTGTAATTATTTGACTTCTTTGTGGTGGCATTTTAGAAAGAGCTCAGCCATCACAACCCAGCGCTGAGCTGGGCTGTGCTACTGGCACAGAAATGCAATTTCTGGCAGGCTGTGGGTGGAATCAGCATCGTTGATGAATAACAAACCAGAAAACAAAATGCTGCTCATAGTTTTGGGGCTTCGAGTCGGCCAGTCTTGCTGGTAGTGGGAAGTCTGGGACTTTACAAAAGCCAGTTGTTTATCATCCCAAGGGCTTGCTCCCCACCAGTGGCAGCAGTGGAAAAGCCTTCAGTGCTCTGAGTAAGGAAAAATCAAAGGGAAGGCTTTTCCTCTCCTTACTATGGCATGGAGGGTATTAATTCTGTTTGAGGACTGCATTTGGCCAGTGCAGAGGCACCCTCTTGGTGCTTCCCAAATAATTGCTGCTCAAGAACAACAAAGCTGTTGCTGTCTTCATATTGGTTTTAAAGCTCAGGGAGGGTCTTGCTGGATTGTACCTTGAGGCTGCTCCAGAAGTCTTTTGGGACTCTCTCAGGAGCAATGTGCTTTTTCCAGATATGGTGTTGCTTATAAATAATCTTCAGCTGCCTCCCTGAGAGGAGAGGGAACCTCCAGCAGCAGGATTGATGCCCTGAGGTTCTCCCCCGGGTCAGGGAGTCGTGCTGGAGACTTCACGTTATCACGGCACGAGCTGGAAGAGCCGAGGAGAAGTAACACCATTTATAGAGGAGGCAGATGGATGTCTTGGTGAAATGTTTTATTCAAGCCTCTGTTATCTCGGTCTCCCAGCCAGAAGGTGCTTCAGGAAAAAGCTGCACGGCAGCAGAGTGGAGGAGGAGGTGTTGGTAGTGCAATAAAACCTCGGCCTCGTGCTCGCCGTACCGAGCTCAGCCTTTTACATTTCCTTTCTTCCCCCTTCTGCAAACACAGGCCTCAGCTCACTTCCATTTTCCATTGCAGCATTTTGGTCCCCGTTCAGCTGGGGAGGGTTTGATTTTCCCCTCTCAGCTGTGTTTGGTTGTCTCCCTGTGAATGTGAACGATTCCAAAGCCCTGAGCTGAGCTCACGGGAGGACTCGCCTCCAGCAGCACCATTGCCCAAAAGAAGAGCCCAAAAATCCCCAAGCAGCCTGATAGCCTATCGTGCCGTGGGCTGTACAAATAGAGTCAGACCTTGTCCATGCAGGGAATGCTTCTTGTCTGCAGTGGCCCTTGTACCTGCCTGTCTAGACTCTGTTCTGGAACAAAGTGACTTTTCTCTCCCGATACAGAGGTGATACGGGAGCTGTGCCAGCTGTGCTGTTTCCCTGGATAGGTGGGATCGAAGAGCTGGTTCCCAAAGTCTTGCTCTGCTCTCTCATGCAGCCTTTTACTCCTGCCTCCTTCAGGGAGCAGCTGCTTTCCCAAGGATTTTCTGATAGGATGGAGTAAGGGGTGGGTTTCAGTGAGTAAGTGCCCCTGCTGAGATCCTGTACCTTAGGCCAGACCTGGGGAGACACAGCTTGTCCCTTTGGGAATCTAATACAAAGGAAGAGATGGAATTAGGGGGGAATCCTTCCCTGTGAGGGTAGGGAGGCCCTGGCACAGGTTGCCCAGAGAAGCTGTGGCTGCCCCATCCCTGGCAGCATCCAAAGCCAGGTTGGACGGGGCTTGGAGCAACCTGGGCTAGTGGAAGGTGTCTCTGCCCGTGGCAAGGGGTGGGACTGGATGAGCTTTAAGGTCCCTTCCAACCCAAACCATTCTAGGATTCTGTGTGGTTATTTGAGAGAATGAGAAATGGTGTGACCTGACCTCAGGCCTTCCTTGGTTGAGTCACTGGTGGAGTGGAGTGGCAGCAAACAGCAGTGGCTGCAATAATACGAAATAACAAAGGGGTGAGTTTGTTGTGCCCTGTTTTCTGTGGGACATTGAGAGTGTCCCCTGATAGCCCATGTTCCCTAAACACTGACAGCTGAAGGTGCTTAGCTAAGGAAGGGGAAACAGCAGAGGACAGAGCAGTGTGGATATCGAGTGCAGATATCCAGGGTGGTGGAATTCCCGCCTCACGTCCCGCGGCCGGGACACAAAAAACGCGGGAAATGTGACCCTCCCCTGCCCCTGTGTCAGCCACCAGCTCCGATGTGAGACCGTGCAGGGCTCCCAACCCCGGGAAATAATAACCCCGGGCTCCTGTGCCAAGTTTCCAGCTGTTCCCACATGTGCATCTCGGCGTTCCCTCCTCCCGAGCGCCCGTGCCAGCACCGAGATTCAATAAACCACCACACTAATCCACAGTCCTTTTTCATTAAATGACCAATTAAAGCCAGAGGAAAAGGGCTCCTATTATTATTATTTCAGTTGGGAACATGTTCCCCGTAGTGCTGGGGGGGTTTTATGTGTGTTTTTTGGGATGATAACGGTCCCTCTGCTCTGTTATCTGCACAGTTTGGTTGCTACCGTGGCTCCTTGGCCCGGCTCCTCGCTGTTCCTGACTTAGCACTGATTTGGTTTTAGGTTCTGTAAAGTTATTAAATACTCCTGTACACAAGTTAATGTGTTCAAGGTGAGAACACTGCTGGCAAAGTGGCTGAGTGGAGAGGGCAGGTTGGAGAGACATCTCAGTGTTGCTCAGGAGGTGCAGGTGCCACGTGTGGGTGAGAAAAGGAGCAAATCCCTGTCCCAGAGCAGCATTTGGGGCAAGACTGGCACAGAAAGATGGGGGGAAATGTTAACTGAGTTGATGGGGTTTTTCCATGTTTAGGTGCCTTAATTGTTTTCTGTGGTAAAACAGAAAGAAAATCCTCAAAAAATAAAAGGACTGTGGCATTTCCCTCCTCTGGGGGTGGCTGGTCCCCCACTTACCCAGGCTGTGTGGGTCCCTGGGTCCCCAACAGTCCCAGCCTGGGTTCAGCACTGGCCCTGCATGTCCTGGCAGGAGCTGCAGTCCTGGGAGCCATCTCTGTGCAGGGTCAGTCCCTCTGCTTCTCTCTGTGCTTGGTGAAGACCCAAACCCTAAAGATGACCCCAAAACATGCCTGCCCACCTTAAAACAACACATGCATCTATCCTGGATTTTTTGTTATTATTACTAATCCACCAGGTGGTTCAGGCTCTGTTTTGCAGACTCAGAGCTGGCACTGTCAGCAAGTCCCCCCATCCTGACCATGCACACCCTGTTCAGGTCTGAGGCTCTGGATCCACAGAGGAGCCATCACCTTCCCACCTCGGGGTGTGATGCTTCCCTGGATGCAGCCCAGATCTGCTGGACTCCTTTTTTCCCCTCCCTTTGCCACCATCTCATTTTGCAAAGTAATGAGTTAACCGGTGGGATCCTCGATCCTGGATCCTGGATCCTGCTGGACTCCAAACCCTGGGCAGGGGCAGGATCCAAACCCTGGGCAGTGGGGGATCCAAACCCTGGGCAGGGGCAGGATCCAAACCCTGGGCAGTGGGGGATCCAAACCCTGGGCAGGGGGTGGGGCTGTGCCGGGTGGAAATTTCTCACCGCAGACTTAATGCTGGGGCCAGACGTGTTGTAAATTTTACAAGAAAAACACTTTACGAACCAGAAGTCCAACTCTCGTGTGCAGGGAGCTGCTAATTAACAGTTTGGAGGCCACGGGAGCCAGGGAGCCGATCCCGCCCTCCCAGAGCCTCCAGGTTCTGAATCAGCCTTGGAAGGTGTGGGGACCTCCATCAAACTTTAGCTGGGACAGCCTGGTGATTCCTGTTTCTGTTCTCCTGTTCCTTCCCAACTTGCACACAGGAACCCCCCAAATCTCCCAAACTCTCCCAGAAACAGCGCTTCAAATCGTGCAGAGCACTGGAAAACAGGATGTGCAGGGAGGCAGGGGGTGCTGAAGATCTGACTCGTGATCTTTGATCTCTGCAGTCTCACACCTCTGGGGAGCTGCACACCCGTGGATTCCCCACGCTGCAGGTCCCAGAGCGTCCCCCACACTCCCAAATCCCAGCCTGAGCCGAGCAGGGCAGAAACCCCTGGAGGCAGAGCTGCCCTGGATGGGCAGATTTTCCATCTCCTTTCTCTCCCGTTTCCCGTAGCAACGGAAACAACAAACTCTGCCGATCGGAGGGGTTGGCAGAGTGGCTTTGCCTCGATGTTGTGTGTCACTCACAGCCCTGCAGGTACAGCTCCCGGGTTTCGCTTTCCCACAGTGTCCCCTACTGCTGGGAGTCCAGATTCCAGTCAGGAACACGCTGGAAAAGGAGGGGGAAAAAAAAAAGAAATCTGAGTGAAGGACAAGGTGCAGAAAGTCACAGAAAGAAGGAGAAACGTTTTTTATGGAGCCTCAGCAAGAATCCCTGGGAAGAGCAGGAATGCATGGGTTCCTGGGGGGAGGTAAATCATAGGATCAGAGAATATCTGGAGTTGGAAAGGATCCAGAAGGATCATGGAGTCCCAGCTCCCTGCTTCTCTCAGGGAGAGAGTCAAGCTCTGCCACTGCAGCCTGGGCTGCCCATCCCAGAGCTGCTCCCTGTCAGTGGCTCCAGGGGGGAGGAATGTAAAGAGGATGCATCACATGGAAGGAATAAAGAGGAGACAGGAGCTGGCAATAGAGAAACCACTTTGTTCTGTTTTCCCTTGGATAACACAACAGGGGAAAACAACCTGGTTTAAAGTGATGGATGGATTGTCCTTCCAGATGTGCCATTACTGTTCCCCTGGGGAGTTTGCTGCTAAAATAAATTCTTTAAGTTGACTATTTGAGAGCAGAATGGGCAAGAACACTCCAAGTATGGCAGAGATGAACTCAGTGGAGCTCTCCCTGCTCCCCACAGGTGCCAGAGTCTCCCTCTGGACCTCGAGGTGTTGGATCCCATGGAATGTTTGCTGAAACAGTGGGAAGTTCATTATTTACCACCCAAATGAGCTGAAATCTCTCCCCAGAGGCCACACAGGAGCCTGTAACACCGGTAACCCTCCAGGACAAGCCCGGCAGGGCCTAACATTTCTATTTCTTCTCTCTCCCCCAAGACCTACGAGCAGAACGAATGGATAATCCACCTGGCTGGGAAGCTGCTGGCCCAGGAGGAGGAGGCCTTGTCCCTGATGGCCACGAACCCCTTTGCAGGCAGAGAACCCCCCCGGTGAGTGTGGAGCTATCCTGGGGGAGCTGGAAGCGGCCGGGCTGCGCGTTGTCCCCGTCCCAGGTGTGCCCAGGGCGGTTTCTGTTCGTGGCTGGGTTTGTGTTTTGTGGAGCCCAGGTGGTCTCAGGTGGGGTGGGTTGGATGAGCACACCAAGGTGCTCCCTGGTGGGGACCCTTTGGATGATCCCATTCCCCAGCAGGTCCGTGGAGGGCCCAGCGTTGCTTCTCTTGGCCAGAGCCGGTGACTTCTGAGGTGGTTTCCTGCCCATCAGCTTTAGAGGGTTTTTGTTTTGTTTTGTTTTGTGAGCTCAGTTCAAAACCCACCGTTCCTGTGGACCTCCTGAGGTGTTTGAGAGACAAAAACAGCCCCGCAGAAATGGTTGTTTTTGTGGACGCTCGCCTTGGAATTGTTTTTGTTTTCAAGGAAGAGACAAAGCAAACACCAGGCAGGGAAAGGCACAGATGAAAACTCCGAGGTTTTTACACAAAGGGAAACATCTCACAAAAGGGTCTGTTTTGTTGCTGAGGTTATTTTTAGCTGAGAAAACATTTTTTGGGGGCATTTTGGATCAACTCAAGTAATATTATGCTCTTGCTAATATTTTCCGTTTGAGGCTCTTGGGATGCACTGCAAACAGGGATGGAGGTCCAGAGCACTGTGTGGAATGAACTTCCCCTGGAACCCCACTCATGTTTTTCCCTCGGGATCCCAGGTGTGGGTCATATTTTGGGTTTTGGAGAGCCAAATCCAAGCATATGGGTGGGCCCTGAGCAACCTGGTCTAGTGGAAGGTGTCCATGCCCATGGCAGGGGGTGGAACTGGATGATTTGAAGATCCCTTCCAACCCAAACCATTCCAGGATTCTCTGATCCTCTGATCCAGATTTTTACCTGAGTTGAGGGCAAGGGTTGTGAGCACAGGTGGGTGCTCACACCTGGGATGGTGGTAAAATGCATATAGAAATAAATAAAATATTCCTTTTTTTGGTTTTAAGCAGCCCCTTGTTGCACATCAAAGCTCCTGGAGGGGCTGACGAGCCCCTGCAGCCACAGCAGAGCCCTGGGCACATCCCCATGGGAGAGCCACGGTCTGCACCATCCAACCTGGGTGTAAGAAGGTTAGATTGGATTTTAGGGAAGAATTCCTTCATGGAAAGGGCTGTCCAGCCCTGGCACAGCTGCCCAGGGCAGGGGTGGAGTCCCCAGTCCTGGAGGGGTTTAAAAGCCGTGTGGATGTGGCACTTGGGGACATGGGTTAGTGGTGAGCTGGGCAGTGCTGGGGGAACAGTTGGACTGGATGGTCTTAAAGGGTTTTTCCCAACCTAACTGATCCCATATCCTTGGCAGGACACCTACTTTTTCAGTCAAGACCCCTTAGCAATCTTCCCCTGCGAGCAGCACCCTCAGCGCTGACAGCAACGATCACGTTTCCGTTATAATTTCATTTCAGCTGTGAACAAAAAACCTTAAATCCGACCCTTAGCAGTAACACCTGGAAAGAAAAGACAGTTCCATGTGGCTGTAGCTCCAGTGGCTTCCAGAGGCCATCCCTGTGCCCTCACCCAGGATCCAGAGCCCACCTGTGGCTGCTGCCAGCCTTCATTCCCACCCTGGCCCTGCTCCCTGCAGTAGCTGGGTGGAAAAAAACCCCTAATTTTCCTACCATATTCCCCCCCCTTCCCTCCACTCTAAAGGGAATTTTGAGACTTAATTATTTTCATTCCCTGCTAGACTAAATAATTAGGGGAAGGGACTGTTTTCCATAAGAACCTTACGCTCCATCCTCCACGGAGTTTGTTCTGTTAATGGAAACTCTACACCTTAAATAGCCAAGGGACTTTCAGAATGAGTTAATGCCTTCGAAATGAAATTTCGGAGACCAAAGTTTGGAGGTTTCTTTACAACTCAAGAAATTATAGTATTTTTTCAAGTGTGATAAACTTAAAATGAGAAACAGGTGACTGATTAAAAATGAGGGTATTGTTGAGCCCAGCCTGGCTGAGCGTGAAGCTGGACTTGAATCCTGGGGATGTTTGGGGAATGTGGATTTACAAAATATTCTGGTGCAGCGGATAGTTCATAAAACACCAGCCCTCATAAATCTGAACAGGAGGGCTTTGGCTGAGAAATTAATAAGTGTTTAACACACCATCATGGAAACAGGCTGCAACAATAAAAGAAAACAAAAATCAGGTTTTGCCTACAGAAGGGGGGGGAAAAAAAAACCAACAGGTTTTTGGGTTTGACCTGAAGTGTTCGGTGTCTCTGATATTAAATCATGTTCACTTTAGGACTTTTATTCCAATTATAGTAGCACTTTGTTGAAAAAGCCCCAACATGTGTGTGAAGCCCTGGATTTGTAGTGGTGGTGTTAGTGAGGGAGGTGGTGCTTCCCTCTGGATGCAGGAACGCGGGAAGAACGTGGCATTTGGGGTTCTTTTTTTTAATTATTTGATTGCCCATCTGTTTTCCAGTTGTGCCAGAGTTACAGGACTTTATACCTGGGGCACATGGGCCTGGATTGCCAGGCTGTGGAAGTCACTGTGGACCCTGGCAGAAGGTGTGGAGGTGCTTTTCCATGGGATCTGTGGAGAATATCCCAAGCCATGGGAAGGGCTTGGTCATATTTGGACATTGTAGAAGCCAGTGTGGGGTTTGGACCCCCCCCCAGAAAGGGTTAAAGGGAATTCTAGAGCTGTTGGGAGCAGGCAGGGAGTGGGATTTCCTGGAAAATCTGGGTGCAAGCTCTCTCCCAGAATGTTTTTGGAGGAGACAGGAGTGGTGCTCATGGGCGCCTGGGAGGTGACAGGATATTCCTCTGAGGTGAAAAAGTATAAATGCTCTTGCCAGACCTTGCAGGAGCCTCGGGGTCAGTGGCACTGCAAAACAACCCATAAAACTGCCCTTACCCTGCAGACTCAGGCCCTGCTGAATTTATGATCCCTCCCCCTGCCAGGGCAAGAGCGGGCAGGAGAGCGATGATGGAGGCTCTGCTGCCGTGATGGATTTGTGCTTTCCACCTCCACCACTTGCTCCCTGATTTACAGCAGAGTGGGAAACCCTGAGATAAAAGAAAAACAATCAAAAAAAAAAAAAAAAAAAAAAAAAAACCAAAAAAACCCCCCCCAAACCCCAAAGACACCCCGTGTTTTGGTTTCTTTCCCGCTCCCTCCCAGCCCGCCTTGCCCTGTCAGGCCATTAATTCCACCAGAAAGCACCGGCTCGGGTGTTTTCCCTGGAACCCCTCAGCTGTTGCAGGGAGACAGCTGCACCCTCTGGAACTAATTACAGCTGTCTGGGAGATTTACCCTCCGTCCCAACAGCTCCAATATTGCTGCTAATTTTTAACACGTCCAGTTGGGCGCTGTCAGAAGGGGCTGATGTACGAGCGAGGCTCGGCTGGGCTGTGGCGCAGCTGCTGCCGGGCACCTGCGGGGCTGGAGGGCTGGGGGCACAACACCAGCCTCGGTATTTTTAGCCCTTCTGCCCCCTCCCCGAGGCCGTGGCCTTGCCCAGTCAGGGTGGGGGTGGAGGGTGGGTGCTTGCCCAGAGGGGTGGTGGCAATGTGGGTCCTCCTGGGCGCTGGGTGATCCTCTGCTTTCCATCAGCTCCATCACTCTCCTCACGCCTCTGCTGGGCTCAGGAGTTGCCCAAGGGGCCTTTGGGTCCCTTGTCCTTATTGTCATAGCACAGAGGGTTTGCCTTCTCCTTGGAATGCCATCCAGTCCCACCCCTTGCCATGGGCAGGGACATCTCCCACTAGACCAGGTTGCTCCAACCTGGCCTTGGACACTGCCAGGGATGGGGCAGCCACAGCTTCTCTGGGCAACCTGTGCCAGGGCCTCCCCATTCTCACAGGGAAGGATTTCTTCCCAAAATCCCATCTAATCCCACCTTCCTTCAGTTTAAAACCATATTCAAATGGTTGCTGGTGCCCGTTGCTTCCCAAGGAGCCAGGAGCTGTGTTTGCTCAGTAAATCCTGGGAAACTGCTTGCAGCCAGGTTAATCCCTCCTGACCTGTCTGCCTCCCCTGACCCACGAGTCCTGCTCATCCTCCTCCATGTACGAGTGACCACCTGGGGCCTCAGACTCCTTGTGATGCAGGTGAGGTCCCACAGCTCCTCCGTGGCCTTCTTGAAGATGTTCCCGTTCCTCCAGAGCAGGAAGCGAGGTTCCTGCAGGTTCAGTCTCCAAGGCTTGTGGATCTCTTCCAGCAGCTGGAAGGTCTTTGTGTGAGCCCCAGAGTTGCACAGAACACCAGCACCTGCTGCTCAGGTGACCTGCTGTGATTTCCTGGTCTGCACAAGTGTCTCACCTCGGTTACAACCTGTCCTGGGCTCCAGGTGAGGCTTGTACCCCCTAAAATGATGGACTCTGGGGCGTTAACGCTTTCCCTGTGAGTGCAGGAGGGTGTTCACTCCCTGAATCCCAGGAGGAGGGAGCGGGAGCAGTGAGGCAGGGCTGGAGGAGCTGGGAAATCCCGTAATTTCGGGATTGAGGCACCCAGGTAGGTTATAAATGCTGGGAGAGCTTGTAAACTCTGTGAGCCCTGAAATGAGGGGCTCCAGTGAGTATTAAACTCGGCAGCTTTTACATCATGAGCCCTGCAAGGAAATATTCCTATGGGTTCCAGGTTTTCTGCCTGTCTCCCACAACCCCAACCCCAGGAAGGACAGAGAGGATGGATAGCTCAGGGTGTGGATGCTGCTGCTGTGTTTGGATTCCCAGATGAATGTTGGTGTCCAGAGGCATTCCCTCTGCAGTTTTTCCTGCTGCAGCCACGGGGAAGGCTCTTTGGTCCCTCTGTTATCACAATGGAAAGCTCCAAGTCTTGTGTCCCAGAGAGGCTGGGGGTGCAGGAAAGCGCTGTGGGCTGTACAGCTCATCCCTGGGCGGGTGGTTCAGCTCCTGGAAGAGCTCATCTCCATGGAGCTTACAAATTCCTCAGCCCACAGAGCTGTGCAGTTCTGTCTCCATGGATCCTTATCCCGAGGTGGGCTGTGCATCCCAGTACTCCCGGTGGAGCAGACTGGGGGAAGCCTAGAGGTGGGGAGGGGGCACTGGGGGGACTCTCAGATGGATTTGGGCTCTGAGCAGAGCTTTGGTTGGATAGAGAGGCAGAGTTTGTGGCACAGAAATGCCTCCTCAGTGGGCCGTGGTCGCTTTGATGCTCGCACGGTTCTGGTTTTACACGCGGGGCCTTTGATGGCAAACGCTGTCAATGGGCTGGGAACAGATGGGAGAAATCATCCCAAATCAGATGAGAGATGTGAGTTAATCTGGGCAGGCAGGGCCATTTGGAAGGATGAGGAAATTTTCATTCCAGAGGGGCTGTGGGACAGTCCTTGAGGTTGGGGAGAAGGTGCCTGTGGCTGAGCAGAGACATCTCCTGACGTCTGGGTCTGCCCCAGAGCTCAGATAAGGCAACTGTGCTCTGCATCCCTCGAAAATGGGAGTTTTGCCACGTGCTGTGGGGGCACATGGAGGTGGGTCCAGCCTGGGAGATGCTCTGCAGTCACTTACTGAAGGCAAAACCCCAAAGCTTGGTGACAGTGGGGGAAGCAGGAGAGGGACTGGCATAAAATCAGCCTCTGGAGCTCTTCTGGGAGATGGAACTGGATTTGGGTTTGGAATTCAAGAAAGCAATCAAGCAGCACAGCTTGGGAATCTCTGACTGTCCCAGAGAGGAGCCTTGGGGTGCCTGGACCTGGGGGATGTGGCTGCTCAGTAGCACTCTAATTATTAACAGGAAACTTTGTGCTCCTGCAAAGGAAGTCCTGTGGGAGTAACATTTCAGCCCAGTTTGGCTTTTCCCAGCCTCAGAAAAGAGAGATGTAGGAATGGCCCTGGCTGTAAAGGAGCCTGCAGCTGTGGGGCAGCATTTTGGGGGGTGAGATGCAGGTTTGTGCACCTCAAACCTGAGCCAGGGCTGTGGCATTGCCCCCTGTTCCCATTTACCTTCCTTCCTCCTCAGAGGAGGGGGAAACATGGAGATTGTAGAATCATAAAATCCTGGAGTGGTTTGGGTTGACAGGGACCTTAAAGCTGATTTCTATCCACCCCCTGCCATGGGCAGGGACACCTTCCACTATCCCAGGTTGCTCCAAGCCAGGTCCAACCTGGCCTTGGGCACTTCCAGGGGTGGGGCAGCCACAGCTTCTGTGGCAAACGTGATGGGTGTGATGAACACAGAATGCCAGAGTCCTTCATGTTGGGATGGGCTGGCAGCAAACCTTGACTGGGCACAGCTTCGTGCGTGCCCTGCACTCTGCCCCGCTCCCCTGGGCGTTCCGGAGGCGAGCGCTGATGGCAAATCCATCAGAGTTGTCCCTGATTATTTTAGCGGCGGGAAGGAACTCTCCGAGGCGCCGCCCCGGGATCCCGCAGCTGCGGTAGCGCCGTGCCCCGCTCAGTAGCGGGGTTTGTATTTTAGTAGTGGAGCAAAGCAGGTCTAAATGAGCACTGACACGACTTTGACATTTTTATTTGGTGGGGTGTTTTATGGACTCGCCCCGCGACGGCGGCGACGCGCTCGGGGGCCGGGGAGCAGTGGGGTGTTACTGGGGCCTTGTCAGCACCCCCACATCAAGGGGGACCCAACCCCCCGACCTGCAGCGTGGGCAGCTCCCGGAGTGTTGCCCGACACCGCTGAATGCTGCTTTCTGCACCGCCTTCAAACCCGCTCCGCTGGCGGCTCCCGGAGCGGCCGCACCACGGACACGCTCGGAGCCGCCCGATAAACCAGCCGGGCCAGAGGGGTGGTGGGGGAGCTGGGGTGGCAGTCAGACCCTCTGCCTAAAATATCCCAGGCAGAAATACTCCAGAGTTGCCTCAGGAAAGAAAAAACTATATTATTCCTGCTTTTGTAATTATTCTTCTTTTCATCTTGGCCGTGCAGAGCTGTGTGGGGAGTGCGCGGGGTGGGGGTGTTGAAGCTCCTCTGCCTCTGGCACCATTCCTGTTTTGATGCCAGCATTCCTAAATGGCATCAAGAGGAGCCCAGGGAGCCCCACACTGTCTTGCTGCAGCAGGGATGGCTGTGTTGGTGCTGCCAGCTGTGGGCATCCTGAGGATGGATGCATGCATGGATGGATGGATGGATGGATGGATGGATGGAGCACCAGGATGCAGAGCCAGCCAGGCTGGACACCCTCAGGCTGATTTCTCCATCCAGCTATGGAAAGGCTCAAAAATTCCGATCCCAGGGGAACAAAAGTGGGATCTGAGGGCTTTGTGCCTGCTCCCAACCCCTGAGCTCCTGTGCTTTGTTCCTGCAGGTGGATCCGTGGGGAGCACTTCAAGTACAAGTTCAGCCGGCCCGGGGGGAAGCACGCCAGCGAGGGCAAGTGGTGGATTCGGAAGAGGATCGGGCCCTACTTCCCCCCTGTCAACCTGCAGGGCCTGAAGAAGTTCTATGAAGACAGGAATTGGCCATTCCCCGTGAGGGACTGATGGAGGAGGACAGGGGGTCACAAGGGACCAGCTGGGGAGAGGGGAGGAGGCAGCTCCCCTTCCAAACTTGTCTTGCCTCTCTGTATTTTCTATCCACATCCCTGTTTACACATCTGTTATGGAAGATTCCCAGCCAACCTGTCCACATGCTGTTCTGATCTGGTTTTTCTCATCTCAAAATCTGGCTGATTTCTTTTGCCAGGCTCTTGGAAATCATCAGAATTTGGGAAAGAGGTGAACAAATACCATGACAGGTTTTGGACAAGGTGTTGGGGTTGCTTTGACCACTGCATTGTGTGATGGCTGTAGAGAGGCAGGGGGAGATTTTGGGGAGGTTTCCTGACTCAGCAAGTGTTGCTTCCCTGGGGATGGGCATCAGGCAGGGCTATCAGGTCCTGCTGCTCAGAGAGCTCATGTGGAGGTGAGTTGGCCTGGCACAGGGCACTGCTCCTCCATCCATCCCATCCCATCCCATCCCATCCCATCCCAATCCCATCCCATCCCCACGTGCACCACCAGCACTAAGACATCAAAGTTTCTTTATTCCCAACCCGCTGTCCCCACACTGCCCTCGCTGTCACTGGGGAGGGTTTGGTCACCCCCTTCTCACTGCAGGTTCATGACCCTGTGTCTTGCCTGCCTGGCATGGTCCAGCTGTCCCACAGTTCATCCCTGGGGCAGCATGGAAGGCCAGGCTGGGTAATGCCCCCAGGCTGGAGAAAACACCCTGGGGCCTCACCCTGAGTTTCTGGTTGCGTTCGGGTCTCCCCTCTTCTCTTTTTGGGCCTGAAATCACCCCAAATTGTCCCAGCACGTGGGTTTTGCTGGGTGAGCCCAAATCTGTGATGGGAGCAAGAACAGGATCATGGACACCTCTGAAACAGCATCTGGCCAGGCAGTTTGTGCCACCTGATGGCCTTTCAGCCTGTCCTGCTGCACGAGGTTCTTTTGCAAGATCAAAGCAACACACAAGCCCCTGTTCTGGGCCGCCTGCAGAAACCACAGGTTCACTGAAAAACCCCACAGAGCTCCGTGCTGGAGCGGCTGTGTGGGCTCTGTGACTCACCCCGAGGACAAGCACAGCCCTGTGTGGCTGCTCCATCCCTGCCCCATCGCTGCCAGAGCAGCCGGAGCCAGCGGGTCTGCGCCGGCCCCTGCGGCGTCAAACGGCTCCTGTGTTCCCCAGGCTGCAACTCCTGTTTGCTTAAACCTGGGATTTATAACTGAGGGGGTTTGTCAGCATTCCCAGGGCTGAGATCTGCCTGGCTGGGGGACCTGCTGGAGGTCGTGCCAGAGGTGTTTGCTCCAGGAGGAGCTGAGCGTCCCACGGGCACAATCCAGCACCGCCAGCACCACGGCCAAGAGGGAGAGGGGCAGGGACGAGCCCAGAAAGGGGCTTTCCAGGCTTTTCCCTCCCGAGTTTTTGCAGTGACATTCACCTCTTCCCCTCCAGGAAGGAATTCCAGTGGGCAGGAAGCTGCAGTGAAGGATTTCACCCTCCCAGGACCAATCCCAGCCCGTGGAAGGAGAAGGGTGTTGCTGTGTGCCAGGCTGGGAGTGGGTCGGGGCCGGGGCACAGCCACCCTGCCCTGGGCCACCAGCCTGAAGGGACCAGTGGCCACCACAGCAGACAGGGGTGGTGGCCACATCTCTGCCTCCATGCCCGGGGCTCAACCGGCTGAGCCCGTCCCCTCCCACTGCCAAAACCAGCTGAATGTGGTTTCAAAAGGAAAACAGGTCTAAACTGGGAAAAGTGAACCAGGAGGTGACCCTGGCACCGGCACAGGGCACTGTGGGCTGTGGGTGTGGGCACAGAAGTGCCATTTTCCACATTTCTTCCCACCTTTTTGCCCACATGGACCAAATGGGCAGCACCCAGAGCGTGTTCCTGGAGAGGGATTAGAGCAAACAGCTCTTGAACAACCAGCAGGAGCTTCAAGAGAGGTTGTTTTTCCTAAAGGTGTTAAAAAGGAATAAAAGGAGGAGCCCTGGGAGGGCAACTCAACCCTGGGGCAGCCCCTGCTGCCATCCTGGTGTGCCAGCTCCCATGGGAACGGGGTGACAGCTGGGAAATAAGGTGAGTCCTGGGGCTTGTGGCATTTCTTTGGGTTTGAGGGAGAATCTGCTGTCATGTCCCAGTGTTTGATCCCTGTCCTGGTGACCCAGAGCTGTGAGTGGACAGTTCTTTCTCTTCTCCAGTGCATGCAAGGGCACATTTCCACAGGGCTCCCTCTTGTTTGGGGTTGATTTTCCTTCCAGGCTGCTCCCATGGATCCAGCTCAGGATGGATGGAGGGAGCAGGAGGACCCTCATGTTCCTGCAGAGCTGGGAGGGTGAGAGGTCCTGTGGGACCAGTGATGGGGCTCTGAGGGGTCCTGGGAGGTGCTGAAGGGGTTGGGAGGGTCCAAGGTCGTGTGGAATCCTGGAAGGTTCTAGAGGGAGCTGGGAGGGTTGGACAGCCCCGCTCCTGGCCACGGGAAAAAGCCCCTTTTAGGATCCCTCCATGGTGGCACCCCTACCTCTGCCAGGGGGTCTCTGCCTTGGGATCCTCCAGGCAGATCTGGGGGGTTTATGGGATTTAGGGAAGTGACTCTGCCCCTCAGCTGTGCTGCCTGTGCCCCATCCTGGCCATCCTTCAGCTCTAATGGGAACAAACTGGGCAGCTCTAACATCTCCGTGGCAGCCTCAGGGGTGAGGGAGCCCCCCTGGATGGGTGATGGGTGATGGGTGATGGGTGACAGACACCCCCTGGACATCCCTCACGGGCTGGACACCGGCAACAAACAGTGCTGGCCCCTTCCCTCCCCAGTTTAATTAATTTCTTTTGCTTCCCAACCTCTGGGTCAGGGATAATGGATCCCAGACTGGCATTCCCATTCCTGTTTGCTGCTTGTTAAGCTTCTTCCCCCCCCCTCCCCCCCTTTTTTTTTAAAAAATTTTTTTTTATTTGAATCAAAACTCCCCTCTCTGCTCCTGGAAGATAATACCCATTCAAAGGCAGAGGGAAGGTGCAGGCAGGGGATTAAATTGGAAACGTTTCCCTGGGACAGCATTTTTTAAAAGAAAAGAAACAATTCTTCGGAAGGGGTTGGGGGGGGAGGGAGTGTGAGGAAATCGGAACCACATTGTGTTATCTGTTGACTGGAAGGTTCTGTGGAGAGGTTTTTTACTCCCTGAGCTGTGCATTGGAAGGAAAAGGCAGTGGCATTCCCGAGGCAGGGCTGTAAATCCAGGGGAAGGATAACTCTGGATGGGGCTGCTCCCGCGTCTCCGGTGTCTTTGGAGAGGGGATGGGGACACAGGGACACCCTCCAGGAGGATCAGAGCCTTGACAACATCTCCACCAGCTCTGGGGTGCAGGGTTTGGGTCCATCAGTCAAAACCAGGATGGGCTGAATCCTCTGGGACAATGTTCTTGTCTTGGCTGTGTTTCCCTGGCTCATCCCCTGACCCGGAGCCTGATCCCATCCCACTCCCTCCTGCTGGTCCAAGGAGGTGCCAGGGCTGAGAGGTGGCTGGGCTGCTCACCCCACATCCACCCTGGGCAGCTCAGGCTCCACCATTCCTGGGAGCATCTCGGGACGTTCTTGGATCAGATCAGACCTGGTTTATTTTTTATTTTCATTTCCTAGATGGAAGTTAATGACCCCTGGGGTATTCCAAGTGTATATATATATATACTTAGTAAAAGTGAGGTATAAGAGACTTTTTTTCCTTCTTTTCAAGATTACAGGCTTTTGGAAGCTCGAGACCCCCTTGCAAGTCCAGCTGGGTTTGTGTTTCCACACGTTCCCCCCGGCTGGGAGGGGTTGGATCCCACAACTCATCCTGGCTGCTCTTCCCCCCCAGAAAAGGGAGCCTCCTCAGGCTTTTTTTCTGAATCCCACATATAAATGTCTCTTCCTGTTGTTGCTGCTGGGGATCAGAAAGTGAGTGTGTATGGACAGATGGGTTTTAGCTCATCCCTGGCCCACAGGGAATGGGTAAATGATCTGCACTCGTGTAACTGGGGAAGCCCCAGCAGTGGGGTTTGGAGGGAGCTGGAGGGGATGATGCCCTCGTTAATGGGGTGAGGGGGGAGAGGCTGGATGGGGCCATCCAGGGATTCCCAGAGGGTCTGGATTCTTTGGTCACCTTATTACCTGTCCCAAACTCTGAGTTTTCCCTCAAACTTCCTTGAACATCAAGTGGAAGGACTTACAAGGTGTTACCTTGAAACAGCTGCCCACCTCCAGGAAAGGTGTCTTCTGGTGGTGAGGTGGAAACCTGTCCTGTGTATTAATGTGCCACGGGTTTAATCTCCCACAGGAGCTGAAGATTCAGCTGGGAAATCCTTAATGATGGATTTCTGTTCGGGAGTTTGGTTTTCCCGTTGGGGAAAACCCCTGCCATGGGCAGGGACACTTTCCAAGCCCCGTCCAACCTGGCCTTGGACACTGCCAGGGATGGGGCAGCCACAGCTTCTCTGGGCAGCCTGTGCCAGGGCCTCCAGGCCCCCTTTGCAGCCATTCCTCTGGCTAAAGGCATGGATTTGGTTTGTGTTTTGGGAATGTGCCCCCCTGAGTGAGGAGCTCTTGGAGAACACAAACCTGTGCCTGTGCCAGGTCCTGGTGCAGGAATCACCAGGCATTACCCACAGTGCACCAACCCAGAGATTTCCTTCTCCCTGCATCATTTCTGCACTGGAGTTACTTGTTTTAAAGTAGCCAAACTCCAGCCTGGGAGTTCCCTTAGGCAATCCCTGTAGCCATGTGCATTCCCTGCTCCCAGCTGCTTGGAGAAGCTGGCTTTACTTTAACACATATTAAAGGAAAAAGCTTTTTTTTTCCTTCCCAGTAGATTAAGTTTGGCCAAACAATTCAGTGTGAACTGCTGGGCACGAGGCACAAACCTGTAGGCTAAATTATCCAGCTGCTACAAGTTTAGACCAGCATGGGATGAATTTCAGGATCCTATATTAGTTTCCATTTAATCTGATTATTCTGGGCTGGAGGGTCTTCAGGTTATTGTCAGTCAAAAGAATCTTTAAAAGCTTCCATTCGCACTCAACTTTTCCCATTCAAAGTCTATTTTCATTATGGATCAATTTTAATGAAAAAATGCTTCTCCCAACTCCCTGCTTTTTTTTTTCCCCTCCAGTTGGGGTAAAAATTGAAGCCACAATGGGGTCTTGCCACTCAAAATCCTATTTTCCTGTTTTGCTGAGAGTGTTGGCTGGGCTGGAGGAGCTTGGGCAGACAGTGAGGGGGCAGATAATTCAGGAAGGCTCCTTCTGAACTCCAGAGGTGCTGCCTGGTACCCAGCCCCTTCCTCACTGGGAAAACACTGAAGAGGCTTGAATCCTGGGGGGATTCCTGGCTCCAAAGTCTTAGAATCATAGAACAGAGTCACAGAATCATAGAATCTTGGAGGCTGATGTCCATCCTGCCTCACCCCAGGGATGTGGAGGGGAAGAAAACTGAGAAACATCTAGAAATAATGTCCATCTTCTTTATTTATGCAGGATTTTCCACGGGATGTGCCGGCCTGGACCTTCTGGAGCCCCAGGTGCCATCAGTGCTGCTCTGGTAAGTGATGCCACTGAGGGTCAGGGGAGGGTCAGGGTGGACATCAGGAGGAATTTCTTCACTGAAAGGGCTGTCAGGGCTTGGCAGGGGCTGCCCAGGGAGGTTTGGAGTCCCCACCCCTGGAGGAGCCCAAGGAAGGCCTGGCCATGGCACTCAGAGCTCTGGGCTGGGGGACAAGGTGGGGATGGGGCACAGGGTGGAATTGATGGTCCTGGAGGGCTTTTCCAACCTCAGTGATTCTGAGATCCTGGGGATGTGGCCCATGCCAGCCTGGCCTGCAGGGACATCCATGTCCTGGTAACTGGTCACTGCCTAAAATCTTCAGTTTGCTCAGGAGCTGCTGGCAGGTGAGGAGGAGGAGGCTGAGCTGGGGGATCATCCCCGTGCCCCGGCCGTGCTACCAGACACCACGTGAGCCCCACCCCATGGCATCAGGGGCTCCCATCCTGCCCTGCCCCCTTATTTGGGTTTAGATTCAAGATTAGGGAGAAATTCCTCCCTGGGAGGGTGGGGAGACCCTGGCACAGGTTGCCCAGAGAAGCTGTGGCTGCCCCAGCCCTGGGAGTGTCCAAGGCCAGGGCTAGTGGGAGGTGTCCCTGCCCATGGCAGGGGGATGGAATGAGATGATCTTTAATGTCCCTTCCAACCCAAACCGTGCTGGAATTCCATGAATCCCCCAGCAAGCTGGTGGCCAGGACAAACCCCCCGGCCCCGTTTCTCCACAGTCAGTGGGATTTGGCTTCCTCTGCAGTAGCAGCTCGGGATAAGATTGCACAGGGCTGAGCTTTTCCCGGTGCGTGCCGGGTGCTGGGACAACCCCACTACAATCACAGCACCTGCAAGCGGTTAGTTACAATAATAAATAAGTGATAGATTATCAAATAAAGCCTCGGCTTCGCATGAGGTCATCCCTGCACCACGGCCTGGGTCTCCCAGGGTTTCCAGGCAGCTTTCCTGCCGCTCCTGGGCTAAATACCTCTTGTATCAGTCAATAAAAAACTTGTCGAGATTAAAGAATCAATTAGGAATTAGCCAAAGGGGCCAAAGCGTAACCCAAACATGCTGATAAAATCCAGTAGGTGATTATGGGAACGGTTCTTATTTCATTTCACTTTGGAAAGGAATAATTGCTCGTTATGGAGCATGGAACGACCCGAGCTGGGTATTTTTCCAGCTTTACAGGGAAGGAAATTCTGGTGGTGGGATGACAAGTGTGGAGACATGCCACGGTTTAGGGCTGAATGGGCATTTTTTGGTCCCTGATTTGAGGAGCATCGTCCACTGGTTGGACTTGATGATCTCGGAGGCCTTTTCAAGGCCAGGTTGGACGGGGCTTGGAGCCACCGACTCCAGTGGAGCAGGGGGGTGTAACCCTGGGTGCTGCCCCAGGGCTGGTACATTTAATTGGCTCGTTAATCCCTGTCTCACGGACCAAATTCCAGGGCCAGCTGCTGCCCTGGAGAGGGGTCTAAGTTGGAAGGTGGGATCTCAAGGCTCCAGGTTTTAGATCCAGTTTTGCTCTCCTTAAAGTGTGGAAAGAGGCAAATCCCTTGTGTATAAATTAACTATAATTATTAGGTAAAATTTATCATAAGTAATTCATTATTAATAATTAATAATAATGGAAATCCTGAGATACTAAGGCAGGTAAAATGGACTTTAGTAACAAAAGGCCAGTCCCCCATGCTCGGTGCATGTTGTTCTCTCTCTTTGCCACTGGAGTTGGACACGGAGGCCAAGAACTGACACCAGCCAGGTCAGAGATGACAAGGATGAGAAGCTGGGTGTTTCCCTGTCTGCAGGAAGGCCCATCCATCACCTCCTTTGGGAATGAGACAACCCCTGCCCCGAGCCCACTGCGCCGATCCCCGCGCTCTCCTCACCGAGGAGACGCCGAGGCCGGATCCACGCTGGTCCCAGGGCAAGCTTGAGCCGCCCCAGCATCCCTCCCGTCCCGCCATCCCTCCCGCTGCTCGTTTGCTGTCATTAATTGGTTTTTCCGTGCCAGCTGCGGCGGTGCCCGCCGTGTGCAGCTGTGGCTCGCGGAGCTGCCCATCTGCGCCCGCCCGGAGCGGCCCCGCAGCTGCGGCGCCTGGTACCGGCACCCCCGGCCCGCGGCATTCATCGCCAGCAGCACAGGCGAGGAAGCTTGGCAGGGGAAAAGGAGGATGGGGAGCCACAGGAGGCAGGGCTCCAAACTCCCCTGCGGCAGCGGGGTGGGATCCGCAGGCTCCGGGCGTGCTCCCTGCGGCCGGTGGAGAAGGGCAGGAGGTGCCCCTGGGGTCCCGTGGGGATGGGGCGGTGCCGAGGGGACTCCTCGGAGCAGGAGGAATGAGCCGGGCTCCAGGGCCAGCTCTGACCCCAGGGCTGGGGAGGTGACAAGGACATCCCTTCCCAGGGAGAGTGGGGAGAGGGGGAGTGAGTGTTTAAATCAGCAATGGGCTACATTGGGGGGTGAAGGAGGGGGATTTCTTGGTGCCCTCGATGATCCCTGTGGGTCCCTTCCAACTCAGAGTATTCCATGATTCTATAATTCCATGATCTGGGCTAAAGGCAAATGGCAGGAGAGACCAAACTCTGTGAGTTGAGCCCTTTGGGTGCTTTGGGGTGCCCAACTCCACTGACCCTGGTTACATTCAATCCTGCCCAGGGCTCTGACCCCCTTTCCCCCTCGTCTCTCCTGCAGCAGCTGAAGGTCCCCACCACTGTCACCACAGCAGCACGGAACGGCCTTGGAGTGAGGACACGGATGGGCTGAGGTTCCCGGGATGGGGAGCTCAGGTTTGTCACCCCAGCCTGCCCCACCTCCCGCCTCTGGCTCTGGCAGAGGCACCAGCAGACAGCCAGCAGTGACACCACGGCAGGCACTGACGTTGCCTCGGGTCCCTGGGCACGGATGCCACCGCCAGAGCCATCACAGGACACAGCTTTGCCCCTGCAAGGTTGGACCTTCCCAGCAGAGAGAGGTGAGAGCCGTGGGGGACGGGGGACAACGGTGCCCGCACGGAGTCACCCGCCTCGGTCCGACCACGCACATCCCCAGTGGTCCTCCCTGTGGGATGCCCCCTCTTTTCCTGTTTACTTGTCCTGCTGGGAACAGAACAATAAATAATTTATCGCCGATCGGTTGGCGCGGGGCCGACCCGTCAGCGGAGCTGATTTTCCCTGGCCAAGTGTCAGGGCAAGAGGCCAGGAACGCCGGGCAGGGGAACAGGCACCGCCACAATTATAAGATTAACACCTTGTTTGGTGGTCACACACTGTCAAGTGGTAAAAGATTGCTCCGGTTGGGCTCTATGGAGCATCGCTCACAAATTACCTTATTAAGCAGGATCTTGCTCCTGGTGGCTCCTGCACCTGTGTCCTCAGATATTCCCATTCATGGTGGAGAGGAGGCCAGCACTCGGCTGGGGCTGCGCAGCTGCAGGAGCATTATTCCCTCTTGCCAGATTTGCATATCAATGAGCCCCTGATTAATATTTAAAGAGCCAGCTGTCCGAGCCACCTAGGGAAGAAAAAAAGCTCTGTGAGGTTTTTATTTATTTAATTTTATTTTTTTAGGGATAACACTCGCTGCCCTTTTTTATGGAGCGCGCTTTATTTTTAACCCCCCTAATCTTTTATTTGAAATTAAGAAAAAAGTCAGGGAGAAAAATATGAAGAACCATTAAGGGGTGATCAGTGAAGGAGTTGTGCTGCTCTCAATGCTCCTCAGTCCTTTTGTGCCGCCGGGCGCAGCTGCACCGAGCAGGTTTTTTTGGGACCGGGATCTGGGAGCGCGAGGCCTGGGAAAAGGGGTGGATTCCCCCACTCCCAGCTTCCCCCGGCTCCTGCCACGGGGCCGTGCCTGGTGCCGATGTCCCCACGCTCCCGGGGGTGCAGGGAGCGGTGTTGTCCATGGGGAGGGATGCTGGTGGTGACCTGGCAGGAGCAAGGCACAGAGTCTTGGCTCCAGGGGGCTGATCAATTGAAATGCCATCAAAAAACCGGGAATCGCTATTTCCCCTGCCTCCACGGCGCTGTTAATCGCCCAGAGGTTTTGTTTCCAGCCCTAAAAGCTGTCATTTTGAAGGACCATTCTCCTGCCCTTTTTCTCTCCTGGAGCATTTGTCAATAATCCTCCGACAGCGGCAGCTTTGTTACCCCAACTAATTGGAGTCAAGTAGGGCTGCGAGAAAAGATCGCTCCCGAGCGAGCCCTGGGAAAAAAACCTGCAAAAGGATTTTAATTTTCAATAAAATATGCAGATAAGTAGAAATTACCAGCGGGGAAGGGGGGCTGTGTGGATAATGGGGCTGCTCAGACGACGGCGGCTCGAGGGGCTTAATGAGCGCTCGAGCTCTGGTGATGCCGCCGGCTCTGCGGGATGGGGGGCTCGGATCTGCCCCCCACACCTGCACTTCCCAGTGGCTAATAGGTACTTCTGGGGGGGGTGGAGGTGAGGGAGATGTTTGTCTGCCCGGTCGTGCTGGGCTGCAGCTGGTGGGGAAATATTTCAGGTCGTGTTTTGTTGTATTTACGTGCAAGCATAGGAAATCTGGGCATCCCTCCGCAGTGAGGTTGGGATTGCTCTGGGATGCTGAGGCTCTCAGGAGGCCAAGGATGGACTTGGACCTTCTCAGCCTGTGGCACTGTCCCAGCCTGAGCCTGGTGGGTGTGGATTTTGGCCAGGATGTTCCAGGCAGGGGACGAGTGTTTTGTGCCACATGCCCTGCCTGTGGCTGTGCTTTGCCTGGCTGGTGGGAGGTGGTCCCTTCTGCTGGTGGGGAGCAGGAATAAAAGTCCCTCCAGCTTCACTGGGACTGGATTTGGCTGGGATTGCCCAGAAGGCCTCTCCAGGTCCTGCTGCTGGATGAACCTTGAGCAGAGGCAGGTGCGCCAAGGGATGATCTTTGCAAACGGGTTTTCAAAAAGGGTGGGATAAAATATTTCCCAGTGAGGGGCTGTTCAGCCCCTCCTGCAGCAGAGGGCATTCCCACAGGAATATGCCCAGGGCCAGGGCTGGGAAGAACTGCTCCTACCCACATCCCTGGCTGGTCTGCCTGCAAGAGATCGAGGGCTGGAGGGATCCATGGGCCGGCAGGGAAGGGGATGCAGCCACAGGGCAGACACTCCACGTGCTGCCTGCAGGGTCTTGGTGCTGTCTCCATGCAGAGCAGGTCGGTCCCACCTTTCCCAGCAACTCAGAGCACTTCCAGGAGGGTTTTGCTGGGATGTTTTTGGTGGCCGTGCCCCATCCCAGTGCCACGTGCCATCCCCCGGGAGCAGAGGGGCAGGAGCTGCCCGAGACCACCAAGGAGGTGCAGGCGGCTTCCCGAGGGCAGGATGGAGCTGGATGAGGCACTGGGGACCTGCTGCCCCCACAGCAGCCCCCCCTGAGTCCCCAGCCCCTTGGGGAGGGACAGCTGAGCCGTCACCTGTTGGAGCTCAGACGCTGCAGCTGCGCCTGCTTTGAACCCGCCGGATTAGGCAGCGGAGAGGGCCATGAGAGCACTTGTGCTCCACGTGCCAGGGCCTTCCTCCTCTTCCTCCTCCTCCTCCTGGTGGGGATGGAGGTGGGAACGACCTCTGGGTGAGGGTCAAAGCACCTTCAGCCCTTGGGACACCAGCTTAAGGTCTGATGAGCTTTATCCTTTCTATCCAAAAACAGGATTTCCAAAATAGGAAAATAAATAGGTAAAATCATAGGAAATCCCAGGAGGGAAAGAATAACCCAACACTTTTTAGCTTTGGGAGAGCCAGAATCTGCATGTGGACACATGGTCTCCCAGTTTGGGAAGGGTGTTCCCAGTTTGGGAAGGGATGTTCCCAGTTTGGGAAGGGTGTTCCCAGTTTGGGAAGGGATGTTCCCAGTTTGGGTAGACGCTGTTCTGTGCTGTCCCTTTGGTGGTGACAGCAGAGGGTGGCTCGTGGTGGGTGGCTGTGACGTGTGGGTGCCTCTGTCTGCCATCACAGGACGTGTTGAGATGATGCTCCTGGCTCAGTGGGTGATGGATTGGTGTTCCCAGCTCAGTGGGTGATGGATGGGGACATTGCAGGGTCATTCTGTTCTCTGTTTTAGTGGGCTGGTGGTTTTTGGCCAAACGTTGGATTTGATGACCTTGGAGGTTTTTTCCGTGGTTCTGATTCCATGACTGAGTGGCCAGATCCTCCAAGCACCACCCCCAGCCCTCCTTTCACAGCTCTCCTCTCACCTCTGTTTTCCCTTGTTTCCTCAATCCCAGATCCAAACCCACAGGGACAGACAGGCCGATCCCGTGGTTTTCCAGTGGCAGCCAAAGTGTCCCCGTGCCCTCCCCGAGCCCATCACCAGGGCAGGACCAGCACCAAGGCTTGGCCTCAGTCCCCAGGGAGTGCAGGATTTGCCCTGTGCTTTTAAAAGCAGACAGGGAACGGTTTGGGGTTACTTTTATACAAACAAAGCTTTCTCCCTGGACTTTTCCCCTCTCCCAGTTTCCCCACGCTCCTTTTCGGGCTGTTTAAGAGCCAGAGTGTAACATTAAGATGATTTACAGCACCCCAGGAGTGGAAGGGCAGAGACTTGGGCGGGTTTTTTTTCCCCTTTTCCTCAGGTGAAAGAAAACCTCAATGTTAACTCAGGAGCCCTTGATTTACAGGCTCAAATTTACGAGTTCAAAACCGTTCTTGCTCTCGCAGATCTCCTTCTCCCTGGGCCGTTGGAGTGCTTGTGAAAGGTGAGGGGTTTGACAGCTCCTGGAAACAAAAGCTTTTAATATCCCCCGGAGTGGGGGCTGTCCCAGGCAAGAAGAGAGATGCCAGCAGGGTTTTCCCTCCCTGCTGCAGATTTTACTCACTCCAGGCTGGTCTTAACCACACAGAGCAGAAAGTTTGCTCGAGTTAAGCCGGGACTAATTAGCAAAGCTCGTTTCCTTGGTGCCTGTGGAGTCCCCTGGGATTATCCCTGCTGGCTGGAGCAGGGCTGGGCTGGAGGCTGAGGCTGAGCTTGAGGTCACCCATCACTCCCGTGATGTTTTCAGACCCTTCCCAAATTTTTTTGGACACCTCCAGACTTTGTGTCAGAACACAAGGCTGTGGGTCACCCTCTGGGTTTATTTTTAATCCCTTTGGTGAAGCCCCTCCCCTCCTCCAGCCCCCAGTGACACCAACATTTGGGGTCTAAACTAAACTGGCAGTGGCCTTTAAAATATAACATGCATGAAATACCAGGAGTAAAAAAGCTCCTCTTTAAAGCACATGTCATGCAGTGGCTTAGAGAGCTGGGGGATTAAACCTTCGTGGAGCTTGGGAAGCAATGCCAGAGCCCCTGCTGCACTTCATTAAAGCACATTTTTGACACAGTTTGCCTGATTCAGTAACAATTTAGTTGACCAAGAACCCAATGGGAAGGGACAGGCAACTGTGCAGAATTTTGTTGTGTTTTCATTTTCATTTTTTTCATGTCACTTTGCCAGCTGTGACCTGCCAGGGATGGCTGAGCCCTGCAGGATCCCTGTGTGTATCCCAAAAAGCAACTGAGATGGAGCTGGGGTCAGGGTGGTGCTCCCACAGGGACGTTGAGGGTCACCACTGTGCCCACCTCCCCATCAGCTTCTCTGCTCAACCCACAGCCCCACTGGCCTCCAGTTGCACCAGGAGAAGTTTAGGTTGGATATTAGGGAAGATTTTTTCATGGAAAGGGCTGTCCAGCCCTGGCACAGCTGCCCAGGGCAGTGGTGGAGTCCCCATCCCTGGGGGGATTTAAAAGCCCTGTGGATGTGGCACTTGGGGACATGGGTTAGTGGTGGCCTGGGCAGTGCTGGGGGAACGGTTAGAATTGATGATCTCAGAGGTCTTTTCCAACCTAAATGATCCCATGGTTCTGTAACTCATGATTCATAAACCTTACTCTGGCCACCTGTGGATGGGCTGAAGCTCAATTAGCCAACTCAGCTTGAAAGCCCAACTCCATCTTGGGTTTCTTCCCCATCCCCACCTGTTGGTGGTTATTTATCCACCAGAACCACTGGATGGGTCGCTCAGGATCCAACCAAATCCTTCTGTTCTCCACCTGCACCCCGCTCATCCCACGGAGCCCTCCCGGCCAGGTGAGCTGTGGGGACAGGACAGAGCTCTGGGTCACACAGAGACACTGCTGGGTCAGGGGAGAGCAGGAGGGGTCCCAGGGGGGCCCAGCAGCTGGACCCAAGCAGGGCTCCAGCCTGTGCACCCCCTCCAGGAGCAGCAGCCCTGGCGTGTCCCGGTTCCCTGGATATCCAAGGCGCTCACACAAACAAAACAAAGGAACTCCTTCCCGAGCACGGAGCCAGCCCAGGCCCTGCACGGGGCTGGGTGCACTGAATCACTCCACCAGCTGCAGATGAAGCAATTTGGGTCAAATATTCCCCCTGGCCTCCGGCCACCACCTTGTCTTGCCTTTCACCTGCTCTGCCTCAGCTCAGCCTTGGCCTTGCAGAGGCTTTCAGGTGAAGTGTGTGGGGTTGGAGGTGGCACCTGCTCAGGCAGGGTTACCTCAGGAATCCGCTGGGTTGGGTTTATTCCTACTTGTTATGATGTCATTTTTTATTCCTGGCTAATTTTTATTGCAGCTGAGCACAGAGGACAGAAAACAGCATTAGCAGAGCTCTGCTGAGCTATTAATGTTCCCCGTGGGTGCAGAGGGAATTTAGACACTCAACAAGTGTACAGAGGGGTCCATAAAACGTGCCTGGGCTGCTCCAGGGGGGGCAGCACCGAGGGGCTCGTGGGGGCCACCCCAGCTCCGTGGGCAGGGATGGGATCAGAGCAGCTCCGGCTCAGCAAGGCTGGGCCCAAGGGACCTTCCTGCAGGATGACATCAGTAGCATGAGGATGCTGAGTGTACTGTCTGGGAATCTCGGAGACGAGGGGATGGTTTGTTTTTTTTCTGGGAGATTATGTGTGTGATAAAATATGTCCTGGGGCTGCCTGCAGGAAGGGCCGTGCTACGAAAGCCACGGTGCCTGCTCTTCCAGCACCTGGGAAGTGGGAAGCTCGTGTGCTGAGGCAGCTGTGGGGCTGGGCTGGGGCTTCTCCATCTCCCTGCCCACTTGGTACCTGGGCTTGCTCTGGGCAGGGACCCCAGGCGGGGGTGGGGGGTGCTTTCTTCTGCCAAATAGGGTCAAAACTGCCCCACTCGTGTTCCCCGAATCCCTGTGCTCTTCTCCAGGGATGTGCTGGATGTCCTGTGGGGTCCTGCACCCTCAGGGGCTGTCCCATGGCTCTGGCAGGGGCTGGGGTGCCATGGGGAGGCTTGGCTGGTTCTACACACAGGTTCCACTGTGAGGAGCCATAAGAAGCTCCTCCAGAGGGGCTCTATCCATGTTGTCCCTTTCTCCTTGTCCCTGCTCCTGCAGCTCTGGGATGTAGCTTTGTATGGCAACAAGACCCGGTGTTTCCAAGCATTCCTGACAGGGGATTATACCCCAAAAGGGAGAATGAGGTGGGAGAGGGAGCAGAGAGGATGCAGCTGGGAGCCTTCCTAGAGCTGTGGGAGAACGTGGAGCCTCCAAGGATAGAGGGAGTGACCCAGAGGCTGGTGGGGATGGATGAGGGCTGGAGATGGAAGGCAGAGGACTTTGCTGTTCAGCTCTGGTTCTAATGTGCAAAGCAGGAACAAAAATGAGGGGAAGAGATCAGGAAAGTCCCACAAGGAACTCTCCCTGTGGGGACAAAGGTTCACCCGTGGGCTGGGGGGAGGCAAAGAGGATCCAGTTCCTAAACTGGGGGTGAGCTGGAGAATGGAGGGCTGGCCCTGGATCAGCTGTGGGGATGTGTGGAGGGAGGTGAAGCGCCGGTGGAGATCACAGGGACGTGGCTGGGCCCCAGCCAGGGCTGGGCAGGCAGACTTCACCTCCGACAGAACCGCAGCGCGTCGCGCTTGGCAGCGCCGGCCCCGCTGGCAGCCCCTCCAGCCGGCTCCAAGGGAGCTCCTTGGAGCAGCCAGGGCAACCTCTGGAGCCAGAGTGGGACAAGAGGAAGGAGCAGGACTCCCATCATTTTTGGTGGGAGCGTTGGGTCTGTCCTGCAGGGGCAGGGGCACCCAAATGGGGGGGAGAAGGGACTGAGCTGAGCGTCACCCTCACCCCTGGGGGCAGAGCTCAAGGAGACCAAAGTCATGACCCTTTGTCTCTTCAGAGGGCATTTCAGGATGGAGGAGGGAAACTGGGACAGGTTTCCCTATTCCCAAACCAGCCTTGGTGCCCACTGGGCCCGCCCAAGGATTTTGGCTGCTGGGAAGGGATGCTCAGAGGGACTGGTTTTTCCAACCAGCTGAGCCCAGGGTGTGCTGAGCAGTGAAGCTTCTTTAACCTCCCCCAAATTTACTCTGATACAACATTTTATCCAAACCAAAGAAATTTTAATAGGGGGTAAAAGCAGAATTTTAACATCAGTGAGGATCTTTAGTAAATCGTTCAGTTCCCCCAGCATCCCCCAGCACAGGGGAGGCTGGAGCTGCTCCAAAACTCCAGTTTTAACCCAAAGAAACTAAAAAGAAACAAACAAAACCACCAAAAAAACACACTTGGCCATGGTTTTTGCCGCCCCTTCCCCCTCCTTTTTGATCGTCTCTGTCTTGTACAATCCTGGTCTAGGCAGATAACCGAGGATCTCACCCAGCTTTTCAAAGTAGCTGGAGGAAGAAAGCAGCCTTTGTGAAGGGCTTTCTGAAGGTCTCTGTTCTGGGAAGGTTGGAAATAGCACAAAAACATCCTTTCTCACTATATTGTGTCGCTTCCAGCTCTAAGCTCCACCACGACCCAGATGTTTAGATGCTGATGCTGAAAAGGAAAATAAGAGCCATGGGGAGAAAGCCAGGAGAGGGGGGGGATCAGGGTGGAACTGGCTTCCAGAAACCTGCACTGCTTTGGTACAGTGTCTTTAGTTTAGAAACAGGGAAGAGAACTAGAGGAGAAGACTCAGAGATTGTGAATTAATACCTTGATTGGTACAATGATGACCAGCTGCCCATCTCCTTGTGTTCAACCCTATAGTTTAATTTTAAGACAATATCCTGTGTGTTCAGCCTTGAATATGTTGAGGATTTGGTGCTATCAGGCATTTTTTTCCGCTTTTTGATCCCGTTTTCCCTTTTTCCCTGCATTGCTCCCAAGTTTCCCCAGTCTTTGGACAATTATTGGTGGAAGTTCATTGCTCTGCTTTTAAAATTGTCATTATCCAGGAGGAGGAGGGACCTCCTCGGGAGGATGTATGGAATAACTCTGTTCTTACCTAATTGATTGGACAAGGGAAGTTAAGTGTGAAACTCTTCTGTATTGTCCATGTCCTCTCTCTAATTATCCCAGCTCAGCAAGAACATCCCAAATGTGCAGGACAGGCCCTCTCTACTTGTTCTGCCTCAGCAGGAATTTCTCCAAATGTCCAGGCTGCTAATCCAGCCCTTCCAGAGGGGTCTGGGCGCGGGATTTTGCAGTCAGACAGAGCCGAGCTGATGTGGGAAGGGGGTGCCCCCCTCCACCCCCTCCCATCCTGTGCCTGTGTCTGTCCAGCTGCTGGGACGTGTGTCCAGCTGGATTTTGTGCTGGGATCAGACCAAGTGCACCCAGATGCCGGTGGTGGGGGAGGCTGTGGCACCGCTGTCCCCCCATCCCGACAGCTGCCCTGGGCACAGGGACATCGGGAGAGGGGGGCGAGGCACCATCTCCCACCCGCCCTGAACCCGCCGCTGCCAGAGCACAGGTTGTCCTGGCCAAAGCCTGGAGCAGGAGGTGGGAGCTGAACTCATCCCTGCTCTGGCAGAGGAGCCAGACGAGCTGCTCCGGCGCTGATTTCTTGGAGCTGAGCTCCCACGCCTGGCTCCGCGCTCGGCCCGGGGTCCCGCGGCCACCTCTGCGGAGGGGAGAGGGGACATTCCCATCCTACGCTCTCCTGCCTTCTCGCAGAGATCGGGGCAGAGATTGGGGTGGTTGAAAAGCAGAGCCTGGAGCCTGCAGAAGTTGGGAGCTGGAGCGACGAGGCCGATCCGAGTCTGGGGTGGCAGCAAACAGATGGTGGGGCCGGCTGGGAGGAGGAGCTGGAGCCGGGAAGGTGTCCTGGGAATGTCCCCAGGCACCTGTGCGGGGTGTCCTGCCCGTCCCTGCAGGGGGGTTGTTGCAGAGATGGGCTGTGGGTCCCTGGTTCCAGGGCCATCCCCCTGCCCATGGGGGTGCTGCAGTGTCGTGGGCTCAGCTGCCCCGGAGGGGACAGCCCCACTTTGGGGCTCTGGGGACACGTTTGTGCTCATGTTTGCTGCAGACCCCTCACTGTCACAACCGTCCCCAAGCTCCCTCAGTGCCACCCCCGCTTCTCCGGGCAGGAGCCCCGCACGGTTCCTCCCCATGCCACCCCCTCCCTGCCTCCCTCTGCCCCTGCTCGTGCCTAATTCAATTTGCTGCTCCCCGAGCGGCTCCCCATAGCCTGACCATTAACAAATGGACTTGGCCGCAGGCCTGGGCGACCATTTGGATGCTGAAGCTGCTGCCAGGCGGGCCCGGGCACCCTGGAGGCGGTGGCAGTGCCAGCACCCCGCGCTGGCATCCCGGAGAGCTGCCAAATCCCGGCGGGGCCGCTGCCAGCGCCGGCAGAAAGGGGCGAGGGAGCCACACACAAAGAGGGGTTTATAGCCCGGCCGGGCACCTGACACGGGGAGGAGGGAGGGCTGAGACGTGCTTAGCCCCGATAATCCCCAGTTTGAGTTTAATATATTTTTTTTATTTTTTTTTTTTAATCAAAAGCACAGCAACAGCTGGGGCTGAGGCTTTCCAGGAGATGAACTCATGAACAACTGTTCAAAATAACTTTATTCGTGCTGCTATTAGATCAGTGCACTGGGGAGCCACCAATTATTTGTGATTACTCGAGGCAGATAAGGCTGGGGCAGAGCCCAGAGCCGCCAGGGATCGAGGGCACCTCCTGGTTTGGGTATTTTAGGTGGGCAGGTCGTGGGCACCCAGCACCCATGGGAGCCCCAGCACCGTCCAAGCTCCCTTCATTGGTGCTCAGGGATCATCCCAGGGGAAGCACAGCTGGGGGCTCTCAGGAGGAAGGGATGTTTGCAGGCAGAGTTGTGCCATTTCTGCCTAAAAACCAATCAGCAGTGGTGCTGCAGAGCTAATTAGCCTGTCCAAAGCTGCTCTGTCCATCTCGCTGATGAGCCCCAGAGCCAGCAGGGCACCAGCTGAGGGAGAGCTGCGGGATTTGGAGCAGGACAGGTCCCTCCCCAGGGATGCCCATGGAGCAGCACCCCAGGGTCTGAGCAGGGCAGTGCCCACCCACTCGCCCTGACCCCATCCCACAGACCAGCCTTAAACCCCTCAGCCAGCTGAGGCCAGTGCTGGACACTTTTCCTTTCCGACATGAGCTCAAGCACAAACCTGAGCGCGAGCTGTGTTTGCCAGCGGGATAATCTCCCAGGGGGATGAAAGGTGGAAGCTGAACCAGGAAAAACTGGGCTGCAGGGCCCAGGCTGCTCTGGCCAGCAGACAGACTGCATGAGCTAATAGGTCTTTTCCATTTCTCGCTCCTGTGATTCAAGAAGTCTCGTCACCGGGGAGTTTTTAAAAATAGCCCTGGATGAAACAGAAGACGGGGGATGAGGGACCAGGCCTGCCTTGGCTGGGAGGCAGCTCGACCTAACAGCGCTTTTCCATCGGGCTGTTCCATGATTAATCGAGACAAGAGCAGAAAAGAAGAAGGAAATTGATAAACACAATGGTAATTCCATCCAGGGCCTGCCTTAGTCAGGTTATTAGAATCCTGACATCATGTCTTGAAAAGAGGACTGGAAATAAATCTCTGGGAGATAAGATCTGCTGGCTGGGGGTGGGGAGGTGCACCAGGCTGGTGGGGCTGTGGTGGGGGTCCCCTCCCCAAAAAGCTGTTTCTCCCAGTTTTGCTGGGTCTCAAACCAGCACCAGGGACACGTGGCTTCCATGAAAACCTCACACCTTCTTCTGCCTGCGCTCCTCGGCTCGTCCTGCTAAAATCACCCTCCACACCCCGACAAAAGCATTTCTGAAGGAATCTCCAGGTGGGTGGGAAGTTCATTTCCTGTGGTCACTTAATCAGAGCAAACACTGGGAAGTTTGGGACTGGCTCCAGCAGTGGGGGAGTGCAGTGTGTGGATAGCTGTGGTCTCCTGGGGGATGTTCCACCACAGAGTCCGTGTGGGAGCGGATCCTCACCCACTGCCCCAGTGTCCCCACGCTCCAGAGGTGCAGCTCAGGTGAGATGGGATGTCTCGTGATCCAGATCAGGAATTTTTCCATCCCTTTGGCCATTATGGCTAATTCTGGGGGTGGGGGTGGGAGAGAGGAGCGAGGTCACTCAGGAATGTCTCAGCCCACAGACCCTCTCCAGTCTCAGCACTGGGAACTCGGGAATCGCCGTTTCCGGGAGGCAAATGAAATATTCCCCCTTTTTTCCCCTAATGGTCGGTCTCTGTCTGGGATTGATTTGACTCCAGCCCCCAGAGCTGCTGCTACCAGGGATTTCCTAGGAGTCCACAAGGCCTTTAATCTTTCCCTGTGCAAACAGTTCTGGTGTGACCCCAAATCCTGACCAGCCCCTGCTCAGAGCCGGTGGCAGCCGGAGCCGGTCCTGGCTGAGCTCCAGACGGGGAATTTCTGTCCTTTCGGTGTCCCTGCAGCTCCATCCGTGGAAATCGGAGCTGCTCCCCCCAGCCCCTGCTCCCAGCCTGGTAAGGATGTGCTGCAGGGGGAAAACTGCCCTTTTCTTCCTTTATTTGCTTTAACAGGCGATTTTTTGCCCGTGAGCACACGCTCCATGGCTTTTCCACGTGCAGCCCCTGTGCCTCCCTCCCCTCTCACTGTCACTCTGATGCACAATCCCAGACAAATCCCACCTGTAAAGGAGGAATCCAGGCACACAGCTCTGCTGCACCCTCCAAAGGGCTGACCCTCTCCAGCCCAGGAAATTCCTGGGCTACTTTTGGACCCTGCACAAGACTGAGTGGGCTGAAACATGTTGAAAAAACATGTTATTGCAACATTCAGGGAGCAAAGGTTTGGATCTTGCACCCACAGATCTCCCACAGCATCTCTCAGCAGCCTGAGCAGATTATTTTTTAAATATATTATGCCATGATATTAAAAATATATTAGGAGATAACTATTGAATATATGTTATTATGTGACATATATTTTGGGGGGGGTTAAATATATATATTTCAATTATGTACATGTATATAGGATTTTTTTACAAAGCAGTGGCCCAGCCACTCACTCCAAAGGCCAGATGCAGAGATGGGTTATCACAACATCTTTAAAAACCCTCTGTGTGCTCCCTGGGAGGATCTGCAGGCGACAGTGCCCTCTAGTGCACCCCCTCCCCAGCCCCCCTGCAGCAACAACTCACGAGCCCCTGGCTCATTAGCTAATTGGCATCCTAACACCTTTTAGGTTTGTGGCTGGACTGGATGAGCTCAGAGGTCTCTTCAAACCAAATGGCTCCGTGTTTCCACCTGAACCCACCGCTCTGGGTGACCCCAGGGATGTTGGGACAGTCAGTGTTATCCCTGCAGGGAATTTCCACCTTCCCATTGCTGATGGGGTTTTTCCCCCCCACAGCTTTTATTTTTGCAGCTCCCTCGGAGGATGAGGAGGATGAGGAGGACGAGGTTTGTGGACACTGGATCCTGTCATGGAGCGAGTCCTGAGTGCCCTTCTCCAGGCTCAGGTACAATCAGGTGCCCCATTCCCTGCCCTCTGTCTCTCCAATCTCACAGCTCCTCGGGCACTGCCCGGGCGAGCTGGGGCATCCTTGGATGACGCTACTTCTTGATGAGCACTTCGTTAATTACTCCTCCCAGCAGAGATTCACTTCTCTGCTCGAAGTCTTGCCTTGGGATGAGAACTTCCAGAATCACTTAGGTTGGAAAAGCCCATCCAGCTTAGGCTGGAGTCCCCACCCCTGGAGGTGTCCAAGGAATGACTGGACATGACCCTCAGAGCTCTGGGCAGGGGGATGAGGTGGGCATCGGGCACAGGGGGGAACTCAGTGATCCTGGAGGGCTTTTCCAACCTCAGTGATCCTGGGATGAAAAATCTCCCTTTGCCAGAGCATCCCCTGCTGCCCAGGCCGGGGCTGAGGGAGGCAGGAGGATGCAGCAGGGCTGTGGATGCAGCAGGGCTGTGGATGCAGCAGGGCTGAGGATGCAGCTGTTTAACAGCTCCAGGACAGGGAAGGGTTTCACCACGAGCACATTTTATTTTCCTTGGCCCTGACAGGACGATGGGCTCCTCCAGGACTTTTCATTAAGCACAGAAAAAAATTTATGAGAGAGGATGAAAACTGAGTTTTACTGTCTGAGGTCTCGGGCAGCGCTGGTTCTGCAGACGTTTTTGTCATCTTGGGGGGGGCTGAGAAGGTTTCACTTGCAGGTTTGGAGTCAGCCGGATCCGTCCCCGGCAGGGAGCGATGCCCGGAGCAACCCCACCCCGGGGGGGCTCAGAACAAAAGCCAAACACCTCGCAATTTATGTCCAGTGAAAAATAACGTGCACGTGACGTGAAGCGTTCTGGGGGTTTGATGCTAATTTTAGTGGTCGCCTTGGCTGCCTTTGAGGAAGTTGCTGGCGCTGCCAAGAGCAAATTTACCTGATGATGAATGAGGAATCGGAGCATGAAATAAATAAATATCAGCAACACCTTTTCTTTTCTCCCCCCCACCTCCTTTTTTGGCAGATCGGTGTCATCCAAGGTCACACGTCTGGGGGGTAGAACTGTGGCCAGAGCTCACTCAGTGCTGTGAAATCATGTTTAAGGCAGAGCAGCATCTTTAAGTGCTGGATTTTAAAAGAAAGGCTAAAGTAGAGTCTCCCAAAAACTCCTCTCATTGGTCACATTTTGATGTTGGCATTAACTGTCTTCTCTCCTCATGTTTTCAGGCTTGGAAGAAGCTCACCAGGAGCAACCTGGTCCAGTGGAGGGTCCATGGCAGAGGGATGGAATGAGATGAGCTTTAAGGTCCCTTCCAACCCAAACCATTCCAGGATTCAGCAAAAACTCAGTGTTTTCCTCCTGAAACCAGTCCTGCAAACTCCCATGCCAGGTACTGACCACTCTATACCTGACCTTTTTCTTCTGCTCACGGAAAAAATTGGGAAGCTGTGCTCTGAGATGGGGAAAAAGGAGGATTTACTGACAGAACACAACAAGCAGGAAAGTCTTTTGTTTCCATCAGCTGTTTTTGGAGAGCAGAAAGGGTTCAATGTCTCAAACCTTTGGGAAGATAAATCTGGAAATGGCTTGGGAGAAAGCAGGCAGGAGCCTCCTGAAGTGACCCCTGAAGTGGTCTCATGAGCTCTGAGGGCATGGAGTGTCACTCCTGCCTGTCCAAGCTGCTGCTAATTACTTTCAAATAATTTATTTAAAAAAAAAAAAAAGGAAATAAATCAGGAAGTTCCACCATTAAACCCCACAAGTTTTATTTGGGTGGAATACCAGCCACGCTGCAGGTTTGGAGATGGCCTGGAAAGATTTCAGGATTTGGGGATTACTTGATTGTTTACTTTTTCCTCCCCTCTCCAGAAAGGCTGTGGGAAGGGGATGTGTGAGGTGACAGCAGGAACACGACCTGCAGGCAGAGAGCTTGTGGAGGTGAAGTGGGAAGGATGGGACAAGCTGGATTTACAGCAACCCTTGGAAAAATGATAAATGGAAGCTGTAATTTTTATCAGGGAAGGGGAGCAGAGCACGGGTGAGGGAGGAAAACAATAAAAAAAGCATAAATTAGGAGCATAAATTGAGAGTTGGGAGCCTGGAACATGATCCAGGGAAGCGCCTGGAAATCACCTGCAAAAGGCTTTTCTAGTCAGTCAGGTTGGGGTGAAATTCTGTGTCATGGCTGTGCTTCCCACTGCTCCCAAACACGTCCTGCAGCCACCACCCACAGCTGGTGTCCTCAACCAGGACAGGGGGAGTGGCTTTAAGCTGAAAGAGGGGGAATTTAAGTTTGATATGCATAAGAAACCCTTCCCTGGGAAGGTGGGGAGGACCTGGCACAGGGAAGTTGTGGCTGCCCCATCCCTGGAAGTGTCCAAGGCCAGCCTGGATGGGGCGTGGAGCAACCTGGGCTGGTGAAAGGTGTCCCTGCCTGTGGCAGGGAGTGGCACTGGATGCTTTCCAAGGTCCCTTCCAACCCCAACCATTCCAGGATTCTGATTTCAAAGATGAGCATCCCCAGAGGATTCCATGGCTTGTTGTTTGAGTGGAATCACTCCAGGCTTGCATGAGCAAACCGAAGGAGTGAGAACGAACCAAATATCTCTCCATGACACATTTCCACCCACCACATGTTTCTCAAGGAGCAGCAGCCTCACAGCACCCCAGACTCACCAAGTCTCATCCTGACAGCCAAGTTTGGCTCTAAACCTGCCTGCTTTCCTCAGGTCTGAGTCCATCCACCGCTCTCTTTTTGATGCCAGGAATGCCTCCACAAGCCCAATTTCCCTGGTAATTGTGCTTTGGGTTAGCTCAGGTCTCTCCTCCCCGTGCCGGAGGCTTGGTGGGGCAAAGCCTCCAGAGCTGGGAAATTCAGAGATGTAACAGATGTTGACATGCAGGGAAAACACGAGAGGCAGGAGCCTGAGATAATAAATCTGAAAAATTAACACGTGGGAGGACGAGAAAAGGAGCAATATGTTTTGGCAATCACTCTGAACTGCTGAACCCTCCTCCCGCCGCTCCAGGGGGCCGGGCATGAAGCAGATGTCACTCACCCGGTGATTAACACATTACTGGATTTCTCCAGTCCTTTAATAAAAGTTTTACGTAACATGCAGGTAATTGCTTCCAAATGGCAAGGTAACAATGTGGCCTTCTGTGGATGGCATTGTTTGCAGCACCAGGTGAAAACTCCTCTTGCTGAAGACCCCGCGGCCGAGCAGCTGCTTTTGCCGTCACTGCTCCCAGCTCCAGTGACAAAGGAACGCCCTGGGAAGAGGCAAAGCCTTCAGTCTGGGAATGCTTTTTGCCCTTCAGATGTCCAGATGAAGGGAGACTGCAAGAGAGATGCAGAGAGACTATTTACAAGGGCATGGAGGGACAGGGCAAGGAGGAATGGCCTCACACAGGCAGAGAGTAGGTTTAGATTGGATTTTGGGAAGAAATTGTTCCCTGGGAGGGTGGGCAGGCCCTGGCACAGGTTGCCCAGAGAAGCTGTGGCTGCCCCAGCCCTGGAAGTGTCCAAGGCCAGGCTGGAGCAACCTGGGCTGGTGGAAGGTGTCCCTGCCCATGGCAGGGGGTGGCACTGGATGAGCTTTAAAGTCTCTTCCAACCCAAACCATTCCATGATTCCATGACATGGGCAGCAAACAGGCTTTGTGCTCCCAAACTGTGCCACAGGTAAATGTCGTCTCTGTGATTTTTTAATTGTTTTACTTTTTTTGCTAGAAAATCTTGTCAAGGAGGTGATGGGGAGAACAGGGTGAATGGGAAAGCCTGGGCAGCAGGGATGGGGTGTTGATCTTCATGGAGCTCTTGCCCTGAACCCGACCCACGCTCAAAATCTAAAATCCATTGTGAAAACAGGAAAAAAAAGTGATCCCAACCAGTTTCTTTGCTGGGCATCTGTCCTGTTGTACAGCTGGGGGGACTTGCTTTGCTCCAGTGTGTGATCACTTGTTATTTGGGAGTGGGAGCAGGAGTGAGGTGTGACAGTGATGGATGTTCAGGGACAGGGAACCCCAACTGGCTGCAGACTCTGCAGACTCAGAGAGTTGCTGGCTAACAGCCCTCAAGGCTGTGAATGAGCTTCCCAAATTACTGGAGCTGGAGAACAGGATACCTTTTAAACAACCAATCTGTCATGAGCTGTATCCTGTGCCTGTCAGAGCCCAGCGTGACTCCAGTGGGGGAATCCATGACACACATCTGAGGGGGGCTGTAAAAATGCACGTTGATGTGGTTGCTTTGACGTGACAGTTCTTTTTCAGGCAGCTTTAGGTGATTCCTGCTGCCACAGCAGGTCACACGTGTCACCTCTGCTCGGCAGCATCGCCGCTGTGGCTCCCCCTGCTCCTGAGGAGCAGCAAGGACTGTCCCATGGTCTTCCTCCCAGAGGGAACGTGTGTCCAAGGTGCAGATGCCACCAGAGCAGGGCTCCAGCAGCTCTTCCAGCAGGCTCAGCCATCCTGTAGCTCCTGGCAGCCCCGTGGAGACCCCAGAGCACCTCACACAGCTCCAGATATCTCAGTTTAGGGCCCTGAATTCCCACCCTCAATTCCCTGGGCGTGGGTTGTGCCCAGTGGTGGCCACTGCCCTTTGGTAGCCTCCTTCATGAGGTGAGCTGAAGGCATCAGCACTGTGTAGGCTTTCCTGAACCTGGGAATTTTGGGCCTATTCCCAGCTGCTGTGGACAGAATGATTTATGGACACATTATTAAAACCACATTTCCAGCGCTGGAGCACGAGGGAACTGCTGGGTGGTACTGGAGGCAACAAGCCCAGGGAGGAGGGGGGTGCTCCTCAGACCACCTGGCTTCTCAAGGGAGATGAACAGCAACAAAGGTGGGCAACAGGCAGCTCCAAACCACCCAAGAGGAGATGTTGGAGCAGGTTTGTCCTCCCTCAGCAGGAACAGATCAGCTGGGAAACATCTCCCACCTCCTCCTGCACCTTAATGTCATTCCTCGGCTGTTTGTGCCCCCCATGACTGTCAGACACCCGCTTTCTGCACAGGGGAGATGGTCACACGGACTGGGGGGAGAGGGGCAGGTGCCAAGGATGGTGGGTTGATCCCACCGTGCAGCACATTGGAATGACCAACATTCCCGACCCGCTGGTGAGGAGCTGGATGAGCTCAGCCTCTGCAGGGCTCTCCGTGAGAGCTCATCACAGCTCCCAGGGAAATACATGGAAAACACTCACAGAGCACCTGCTCCCCACACCCTGACACTGGAGACCTTCTGCCTTCAGGGCTTTGGGTGATCCCTGCGCTCACTCAGCCCCTCGGGGACCTGGCCCTGCTCCCCTGGCCCTGCCACAGCGGCCCAGCTGGGCCCCTCCTGCCCTTCATGGAATTACAGAATGGTTTGGGTTGGAAGGGACCTTAAAGATCACCCAGTGCCACCCCCTGCCATGGGCAGGGACACCTTCCACCAGCCCAGGTTGCTCCAAGCCCCGTCCAACCTGGCCTTTGACACCTCCAGGGATGGGGAGTCCACAACCTCTTCAGCAGACGAGTGATCTCATGGCCATGCTGGCATGGGGCAGCATCACTGCATTTCCAACCTGGAAATCATTTGGAAAAAAATAGATTTTTTTTTTTTTTAAATAGACATATTTCATGTTGGTTATGATGTCCACTCCATCTTCCATGGTGAGTGAAGGCCAAGCTCTTCTTAGTGTTTGTTTTGTGCCTTTATGAAGACATAAATCAGCAGATCTTGGTTCACGGAATCCTGGAATATGCTGAGTTGGAAGGGACCTGTCAGGATCAACTCCTGGCCCAAGGATCCCTCCAGGACATGCCAGTGTGCTCCAATGGCTCTTTGCTCTCCAGCTCTGGTGCTTTCCAGCCCAGCAGAACGAACCCCACAGATCCCCTGCAGTGCAAAGCCCCCAGCTCGGAGAAGAGAGGACACTCCAGGAGGTCTGGCACGGCCCAGGGACGGGAGCCAGGGCGAGGACAGCAGGGGATAAAACTCAGGGAATGGCTGATTTGCTGCCTTGAACTTGGTGGCCTTTTCTTCCTGCAGACATCTGTGGGAGGGCAGGAGGTGTGTGAGCACCCACCTGGCCACGGGCAGGGGGCTGGAGGGGACCCTTCCAGCAGTTGGGAGGGCGGGTGGCTCCGGCTGCCGACACCTCCTGGCAGGAGACCTTTCAATCGCTCCGTGTCCGTGTGCTGAAAAGCAAGACCTGCTGAGATGAAACCCTTTGGCCTCCCCTCCCCACCCCCCAGCTCCAAGGCAAACACAGACAGTTCTGTTCCTACCCCGAGAAATCCATATTTCAGCCTTGGACTCCCTTTGTGTGGGCTTCGTTTCATCCAGCGCCACGGAGCCTGGACGGCTTTTGCAGCTCATTTTGTGCTTTGGATGCAGCCTCCTCTCTCCAGCCCTCTTGCTGCCTCCATAAAGGAAGAACAGCAGCCTGTGGTGTGTTTTCCCTGGATCCTGGGCTGCTGGAAAGCGAAGGAAATGTTGCTGGAAGAGGGAGAGGGCCGGTGGGACGCTGCCGGATCCTCCTCCCCAGCAGAGCTGCAGAACCCTGGGCCCTTTGGCTTCCTCGGGCCTTCATGGGGAGCAACAAATTGTCCTATAAAAATTGTCCTATAAAAATTCTTTCCTCGGATTTTATTTTTCCAAGGAGACAGGCCCAGCTTGGAAACCTGGGAATTAAATCTGCCCCTTAAAGGGACGGCGAAGTCCAAGATGGGAGCCGTGGAGCAGAATTCCAGCGGGATCTTCAGGCTCTGCCTCTCTCCTTCCCAAAATCTGCATCTGAAGCCTCTGGCTGTGGAGGAAGAAAACCTGGCAAGGACATTTCAGCTTCTCTTACAGTTGAGGAGGGACAGGAGCTGCTGGCCCCAGTGATAGATTGAAGGATGTGGTGCAGCCTCACCCCCCTCCTCCCAGGAAGGTAATTTGGGGTGAGGGTGGGAATTGCTGCCTCCAACCTCTTCCTCTGCACATCCAGCCTGGAAGTCACGCTCTGTGCGTTCCCAAGAGCCAAAGGTGCCTGAGCCCTGTGCCCAGGTGGGATCCAGCTGGATGGCAGGGCTGTGCTCACAGCTGGGCTTCCCCCTGCCTATCCCATCAGCTCAACAGAACAAGTGCAGCCAGGATGTCCCTCCACAGGTCACCAGCTGCTGATGAAAGGCTGTCCTGGAGATCAACCACTTCCCATTTGTCATGTGAAATGCCTGGGCTGCCTGCATAGAATGGCTCTGGCAGACACTGGGGAGAGGTCCTTCATCCTGAAGCCTTCAGGCACTGTTTCCCACTTCTCCAGCCTGGATTATCTCCTAAAAACTTGGATGCTTCAAACCCTACCATCCTTTCCCTGTTGGGTCCATTGCTGTGGTGGTTTCCAGTGACCATGAGGGGATGCTGAGTAACCTGCTCTAGTGGAGGTGACCCTTCTCATGACAGGGAGGTTGGAACAAGATGATTTTTAAGGTCCTTTCCATTCTGGGATTCTAAGATTCTATGCTGGAAGCAAGAACATCTTGTGGCAATATGTTGCCCTTGAACCTGGAGCTGGGAATCAGGGGGTTTGAAGGGATTTGAAATCCGTGGCTGGAATTTGTGGCTGGTGCCACCACACTCTGACCTGAGAGCTTTGAACTGGGGTGTCCATGAGTTATCCAGAGCAGCTCTCTGGGACCTGAGGCATCTGGGAGGCAGTGCCCAACAACATCCTTCCAGCTGGTCCTTCATGCCCTTGTAAATACCATCACCTCTTATTTTTCGAACAGATCATCCTCCCTCTGTCCTAAAGTGGAGCCAAATTCATCCACAAAATTTCTCTGTTTCTCAAAATTCAAACATTTGAAATGCATTGGGGCAAAAAGCAATGAGTGGTTTGGATTAGTGCATTAATGCACAGGGATGGCTGTTAAAGGTGGAAAACCCTAAATTGGGAAGGAGAATTTCAGCCTGGTTAAAGGAAATCTAAATAAAATTCCTTTCTGGAAGGAGTTCAAGAAAATTATTTTCCTTCTGTGTTTCTGTCTCTCTTCTTCTGGCTTATAAAAACACCTTGGCTCAGATATTACACCAATTCTGCCTTTTATTAAAAATCCCCTGCTCGGGTTGTGCAGATTTCATGCTGTTACATGAAAGTAAAATTTTATGACCAGAAGCTGAAATTAGGAAGGAGCCTTTTTGTTGTTGTTGTTGTTGTTTTTGTTGTCTTGGCTTGGATTTTGTTGGTAGTCAGGAGGGTTTGTTTAGTTCTGCTTGTTCTAAAGCACAGCCAACTCCTCTGGGTCTGAGCTCTCCAGGCTTTTTTGAGGATGCTCTTTCCAAACAGGTGCTGATGTTGGGAAGCTGAGCTCTGGACAGGGCAAGGCAGTGGGTGATGCTCTCCTTCTGCTCCTCACCTGGGAGCAAACAGGGTTCCATGGCTGTTCCACCACAGGAGGGATGTGTGGGAGAGCAAATGTGTTTCACTGCACGGGACACAGACCCTGGATGTCCAGCCTGGAACAGTGCTGTGTTGTGTTGTGTTGTGTTGTGTTGTGGGCAAAGTAACTGTGCAAAAGTGGGGGCTATTCCCTCCCCTCACCCTCTGTAAATCCAGATTCCATGGATCACAGCTTGCTTTGAGCCCACATTCAACACCAGCTGCTTGTTGGCTGGGTAATGCCAGCAGACTTCAGTTGCCATTTCTCACTTTAAGTGGAGTACTTCTGTTTTTCCATTAATTCCTCCCTCCTCTGCTAAAAAAGAAGCTATGGAAGGGAGAAAAAAGAAGTCCTAAATTGTCATTTGGTCCTTCCTTGTTGGGTGAGTTACAGGAACCTGAGTGGTTACCATACCTGACTATGTTAAAGAAGAGTTGCAGTATTAGAAGAGGTGCAGTACTGGCTTCTTTGGGGACCTTGGCAAGGCAGCTTTGCATCTCCAGGATCCATCCCTGCACCCTGTGCTGCTCTCCAGCCCCTGGGAGAGATTCCAAGAGCCCTGGGTTGGGGGGGAGCCATCCCACCCATCCCAGCTGTGACTCGAGGCTGGGCACCTCCTCCCTGCACAGCTCCTGCTGCAGCTCCTTGGGGCATCCTGAGGGACTTCAGGGCATGGACCTCCTCTCCCAGCTCCAGAGACACCAGGGCTGGGGTGGGGGATTTAAGTGAAGCCCCCTGGCCCCTCCAGCCCAAAGCTCTGTCCAGCCTCCTCCTGCCCTGGGAAGATTTAGGGAGCAGCCGTGAGGATTTCCCCAGCTCTTTATCAATAATGCAGCAATAAAAAAGGGGCAGCCTCCCTTTCGAAGGACTCACAGAGCCCAGGATAATCCGAGGAGGGATTTGGCTGCCCCCAAGAGCCACTTTACTGCTGGGCAGTGCTTTCCAGCCCCTTTGTTGGAGGGGGCTGTTCCCCCATCACCAAAGTGCGACTGAGGCTCTGTGATGGGCTGGTCCATAAATCTCTCCCCTCTAATCCTTTCCATTCTACTTTTTCCAAACTGGGGGAGGAGAGGGATACTGGGCTGGGCAGCCCAAAGCTTTAACCCTTTGTGCTTTGGGGGATCTTCTGCTGAGCAGAAGAGGACGGTGGGTGGAAGGAGGGCTGTTCCACGGCAGCCTTTTAGGAGCAGGTAGTTCTAGTCAGCAATTAAAGCCCCACTGACAGCTTAAAGAGCTCCTCTGGAAGTTTAATAAGTCCACCACTGGATATAAGAAATAAATCTGGCTGCATTACAATCACTTCCAACTACTTAAGCAATAAATGCAGAGCTGTGCTCTCGCTCAGCCGTGACGTGGGGGACGTTGCTTCACTCCCCGCGTGGCTTGCAGGGCTGGGACGCCAGAGCAGGACCTGGCTCAGCATCTGCAGCCAGAGAGACACTGTGGAGATCACGGGGCTGTGCTGGGGTGGGGAGTGAGCCAGGGCTGGGTGAGGTCACTTGGAGCCTGAGGCTGGAGTGAAACACTCGTGGGCTCCGTGGAGGTGAAGAAACTGAGACAGCTGGGGCTGTTCAGCCTGGAGAAGAGAAGGTTGTGCAGAGACCTCACAGCACCTTCCAGGATGCGAAGGGGCCCACATGGAAGCCAGAGAGGGAGCCTTCAGCAGGAACTGGGGTGACAGGACAAGGGGAAATGAGTTTCCACTGAAAGAGGGAAAACTGAGGTTGGACATATGGGAAAAACTCTTCCCTGGGAGGGTGGGGAGGCCCTGGCACAGGTTACCCAGAGCAGCTGGGGCTGCCCCATCCCTGGGAGTGTCCAAGGCCAGGTTGGACAGGGCTTGGAGCAACCTGGGCTGGTGGGAGGTGTCCATGCCCATGGCAGGGGATGGAACTTTAAGGTCCCTTTCAACCCAAACCATTCCATGATTCTAAACCACCTGAGGCAAACGCCAAAATCTCCTTTTGCCCCGTGGGTGGGGACGTGGAAGGGGTGTTGCACTCCAGCTACCTGACCTTGGGATATGGAAGTGATGGGGTTTGCAGTGGTTGAAAAATGAACTTTGTGTCCATGTTCTCCTAAAAGATCCCGGGCTTTTTAAGCCCAGCTTTCCAAAGCGTGCTGAAAGGTCCCGCCCCGGGCAGGGGCTGCCTTTGAAAGGGAACAAATTGTCGGTTTATGGCTCCCAGGTGAGGGGGGGGCTGTAAATCTCCCACCATTTAACGCATCTGGTCTTTTCCAGGCTGGCTACCAGTGTTCCAAGGAGGAGAGGGAGGAATAACCAACATTTCCGGCCATCGGCTGCTCACACGGCCCCCGGGAGCTCCTCAGGAAGGTTTTTAAAGGAATATTTATGGATGATCCTGGTGAATCGGGCCCTAAAAGGTACCAAGAAAGGGGCTGTTATTCATTAACATTTGGGAGCTGTGCATTGAGGATTTCCCTGTGGAGGGGCAAAAGAAATGGAGTGAAAGTGAAGGGGCTTTCGAGTTAATCCGGTGCTTTTTGAACGTTATTGTTGTTGGTAAGAAATCAGAACCTTATTTTTGATGAAGGAAAAAAAAAAAAATTAGAAGTACATTTTTGGGATGGTTTTCCTTCAAAGTTTCTTTCTAAAATTCCATGCAGAGCTCCTCAGCAAATATCTTTGTTCTTACTGATATATGGTTGAGTGTTGGTCTTTGTCCATCCACATTTCCATGCTAAAACAACATATCCACTCCAGCTGATAACCTGGGAATAACTTCAATTTGGTGGGTTTTCCTGAAGAAAACTCTCTCATCACTGCAAGTTATTTTCAGTTTGACAAAAATGGACTTAAAGCTTTGCAGCTTTGCACTCAGAGCGTTCTCCAAGTTAAACTTCCCCATCTCAGTAAATAACAGATCACTCCCCAAGCCTTGTAAAATCCCTCAGCATTAATTACTTTGCTTTTATGAACAGGAAAACTGAGCACAGGAGGAGGGATGGTTTGGTGGAAGAGCATCCTGGGGTTTTCACTTTCAGAGCCTTTTCCTAACGACACGAGTCACTTCAAAGCCTCCTGCAGAGTCACTGATAAGAGCAGCTCCCTCGAGGTGAGCCCGGGTTTGGGTAAAGTGCCTCTGGAACAGATTTATTCCACTCAGTGTGTGGAAGAGATAAGGCCACACGTGCCCTCTGAGCCTGTTTCTTTCAGTGCAGTGTCTTGAGGTCTGTCTGAGTGTGCCTGAGATCAGAGTTTGCCAGAGCAAGAGAACATCAGGATGCTTTGTCAAAACGACAGGACCCTCCACAATCCCACTTCTTGGGAGTGTTGCTGCCCATCCTGCTCCCAGAGGGGACCAGCAGGTCCTGCAGCTCCCAGCACCTCCCAGTGGATGATGGCATTTTCCCAGTGTCTCCTAGCCATGGTGGGCCCAAGCTGCTGATGGATGTGCCCCACAGAGTCCATGGGGCTGTTGGATCCAGCACTGCAACAAGTGGAGACAGTTTGTTGATGTCAGTGAATCTCCCCCATGCTCAGCTGCCATCCTGAGGGCCCAGGTGTGGGAGCAATGCACAGAGCCCCCAAAACTGTTGGATTTGGGTCTCCTTCCATGAGCACAGGGTGGTTTCAGAGTAACTGAGGCTGTGTATGGGGCAGTTTGAAGTGCAGAGGTGTCCACGAGGGCTCTAGTCATGATTTCCTGGGAGAAGCACCTCATTTTCAGAGGTGATGTGCCCAAGAGATGGAAACCACCAGGGTCAACCAGGTGGTAAAAAGAAAGTGCTTCCTTCTTATCCTAAGCCATCCCCCTTTCCCAGCACACATCACAACTGTTGTACTCTGGTGTCCCTACACCAGAAGGACCTTCTTGCACATGTTCATCCCTGAGCAAAACCCTCCAGGGAGAAACTGCTCTGACTCAGCTGCTCTGCTCAGCTCTGTGTGCACTTGGCACGAGGCAGGAGGTGAAGAGCTCAGCCCAGGCAGAGCAAACCTGTCCTCCCAGGCCCGGGATGTCGGGGCCCCGGAGAGGCAGCGGGCGGGAAGACGCTGATTTTTCGCCTGATGAGCAGAGCTCCAGCTGTTCTGCCCCGTCCTCACGGGAGGGGGACAAGGAGGGGGTGCAAAGCCACAATGACTTCACCAGCAGCACAAGGATAGGATGGTGTCCAGCTGATCCTTGCGAAACACCCTCTGGAGCTGCTGGCTGTGGGAACTGTGCCCAGCTCCGTGTCCTGCCATCGCAGCGTCCTCGCCTGAGTCACTTCTAACCCAATACTGAGTTGTTACCGCTGGCATCAGAAAAGGGGTTTTTTTTGCTTGTCAGTGACTTCACAAATCCAAGACACTGCCAATTATCCCCCCTTCAGAGCATTTAAAACATCAACACTTCCCTCCCAAATGAAAAGGGAGTCAAAGGTCCTGTGCCTCCCTGTGCCCCTTGCTCTCCCACGGCAGGGATGTGGAGGTTGGCCTTTCAGGAAGCCTCCTCTGCTCCACTGAACTGTATTTGCAATTTAGGACTGTGGCCTTGTGATCCTGCACCCAGTGGGACGTGGGGACAGGTCTGATGGGGAGCCTGGTTTAGCTGCTCCCTGCATTTGTCACAACAGCTCAGGAGCTACTGGGGGACAGTGGAGTTTGGTCTGTGGTCACAGCACCAAGCCTGCCAGAGTTCCAGAAGCATTTGGGCAGTACTCTGGGGCCCATGGGGTGACTCTTGGGACTGTCCTGTGCAAGGCCAGGAGCTGGACTCAGTGATCCAACTCGGCATTCTCAGTGATCCTGCAGTTCCCAGTCTGCCCAGTCCAGAGGTGTTCACCCTCGGAGCGGGTGCTGCAGCTCTTCCCTCACGAATCCCACGTGTTTCCGACACGCCTGTTCAAAAAGAAACCTCCATCTCTCCCCCTCATTTCCCTTTCTCTGTGACTCTGCTTGGAGCTTGCAGCAGCCTTGCCCAACAATAACACTGGCGCCCGTCCCAGCGCGGCCGGGACTCCTGCGCAGGGAAGGCAAAGGCTGCGCTCATTTCGGGGCAGACTTCGCTCACCTCTGGCACCTCTCCACCCTCACTGCTCCCACACTGCCAGGGCTCCTCTCTCCCCAGCTTTCCCCTCTTCTCCTGGGCTCACCTCTGCCTTCCAGAGGCCTCGGCCCCGGGGAGCGGCGGCGAAACGTGGCACAGACAACGCCAGAAAAGCGCCAGGAAATTCGGGGGGTTTTCTTTCCTTGGCCAAGGCAGAGCTGCTTCCTCTGGGATGACATTAAAATGCAGCAGAGGATGAGACCCGGATCCCGTTCTGTTTGGTTCCTGGCCGGTGGAGGATTTTTCCACTGGTGCAAAAAGGGTTTCTGAGAATTCTTTTTTACAAAGGAAAATACAGAGACAATGACCAATGGCCACGGGGGCTGGAGGGCTCAGCCTGGGGTGCTTGCTCTGGGAACCAGCCCTTAGGTCATTGGTGGATAATCAAAACTGGGGAGGAAACCAAGAATCTGGTGCAAATTAGTCAAATTGTCAAGATTTTAATGAGTTTGACAACAGAAATCACCTGTGCTGGTAATTGCCTTGCATGCTCCTGGGGAGAGGCATTATAAGAAGAAGAAGAAGAGGAAGAAGAAGGGCAAGTTGTTCCTCTTGGAAATCCTTCCACCTTCTTTATGCAGAGAGGAAAGATATTAGGGAAGCTGAGCTCTGGATGGTCTCTGTGGGTTGGAGGAACTCTGAGACAAGAATCTGGCTTGGCTCTCTGGTAGCATTAGGGAGCAGGATTATCTCCCTATCCAAGTAGGGTAAATCAGGAGGAGAATGTGCTGAAGTGGTGGGAATGACCCATCAGCCCAGCAGAACAGCCTGTGCTGTGGGGAAACAGCAGTGGGAGAGTTTGGGGGGGGCTGGAAAGGGAGATCTGACCCTGCTCCGAGGCTCTGGCCAGCCTGGGAATGCACTGCCCTATTATTCTGGGATTCTGTGACCCTGCAGGTTTGCATGAGCTCCAGGAACAACCCAGTGGAGCAGCTGGAGCCTCCTGGGATGGGGGAAGCCCTGCTGACTGCACCCTGCCCAGGACAAGGGACATCATTTGGGGTCAGCTCTGGTAAGTCACAAAACCCTCGGGGCCAAGTCCCCCGTGGGACCCCAACTCCAGTTCAAGACATGGAGACCCCCATCAACAGTGATGTGTTCAATCAGCAGCAGAACTGCTTTCCTCTCTCTTTGGATTCCTTGTCCTGCTTGCAGGAATCAGGGACCCTTCCCTCTGTTGGGGAGCCAGAAAGCTCCTGCCTCGGCCAACCTTTTGTCTCGGAGCAGCCCTGGCCTCTGTGCTCTGTATTAATTTAAGATGCTGTGAAGTGAGAGCTGTGGGGGTGGGAGATGCTGTCTAAAACTTGTTCCGAGCCTTTGCTGGATAAATCCCCGTGGAATTTCATTTAAACGAGCTGACACCAGTATGAATCATGCCAGCATTACCAGCACTTCCTACCAACTGCCTGCAGGGCTCTGCCTTTTTCCAGGGAAGACTAAAAGCATCTAAAACTGTTTAAGACCTAAAAGCCTTAAAATAATAGGTGTTTTTTTTCCCCGTTTTCACCGAGGAAGAAACAACATCTGCTATAAAAATCTGCTGGTTGGGGGCAGTGGGAGCGGATACCACTTATCAGGGGTTGGAAAGGGCCCCAAAATCCCAAAGTGGTGTCTCATCTGTCTGCAAGCTGGACAGATTAGATGTACACAGAGGGGATGGAGAACTAGGGATGAAAGAAAGGACACGGAATTCAGTGGAAGGAGGAAGGAAATGAAAGCAAGACTTCCAGGAAAGGGAAGGAGACAATGCTGTATTTATAAATACGTACCTGGGCTTCGGTGAAAGCTCCTAAAAGCTGCTGGGACACAGTCAGGCTGCTTTGGAATAAAATCCAGGAGGCAGAGTGTCTGTTCCCAGGATTTAACTGAAGAGTGACATCTCTTCAGAGGCGGGCAAGTGGTCAGGAGTGAGCATGAAACATGTAAGATTGCAGAATTCAAAAGGATAAACATTATTTGATACCTTATTTATAGGGCACCACAGGGGAAAGGTAAAGGTTTCAGAAAAGAAAGAAGCACTTTAATTTTATCTGGAGATTTTCCAACAATAAAATCTAATCCATCATTCTCCGTGTGTGACTGCTCTTAATGAAAATTTAGAGGCTGTGAGTGAAATTTAGAATTCCCAGGGGGTACTATTAGGAAGATGTCTAGCAGCTATGCAAAACCTGTTAGATCAGAGCCCTGCCAAGGGCCGGGAAGAGTGGAGTGTGAAAGGACAGCTTTTAATTCCATGTGCCGAGGCTCTGCAGGGCCCAGCCTTCCTCTCCTGGGTGGCAGTGGCACTCCTGGGATGGTTCCACCGGGATCAGCTCACTGGGTGATTTCAAAGAGACAGGAGTCGGCCCATTGACATTTATTTTTCCCCCGAAGATCCTCCGTGGTGACGAGAGGGGTTGATCTGCTCTCCCCTCCCCTCCAGGTTCCTTGCCCAAATTTAGTGATCAGCAGTCAAGAGCTTTCCAAAAAGCAGAGAGTGAAGCTGTTTAATCAGAGAATCATGGAATGGTTTGGGTTGGAAAGGACTTTGAAGATCATCCCGTTCCATGGGCAGGGGGCACCTTCCACCAGACCAGCTTCAAACTTTGGACACCTCAGCCCATCTTGGACCTGCAGAGAGCCACAAAGTGCCTCTCAGGCTGACCCCAAGGTAAGGTTGACCATCCCCAATCATTACCAATCCTCTGCACTTTATTTTTAATCAAAGCAGATCACCAGACTGTTTCCAATACTTTCTAATGGTCAAAAAAAGGGGCTTCGATTATAAAGACAATAATGCTAAATTATTGAAGGGCCTGGATGTACATCATGAATCAGTTTAATACCAAAGTCACTGCCAATTATTCAACTGATTCAAAAGGAGACTCCATCACAAAATGGTAAATCACAGGATAAATCTGTCCTGGGAAGGGCTTTAGTAATCAAAATTCTCTCAAAGCAGAAAAGGCTTTTCTAAAAGCAGGGAGGGGGGAAAAAGGTTACAGCTTAAGCCAGACATTATATAGTAATGCCAGATGTTAAACAGTTGACTTAAATTATTGGCAACTATCAAATGCAAGATCCTAATACTACTGGTTGCAGAGCTATGCCACCAAGTTTGTAATCTGTGGAATGGGCTTAAATATTCCTTTAATTTTCTGCCTGTGGATAGGAGGCAATTTGGATTAGCTTCCGCAGAATAATAACCTCCTAATTCTCAGCAGATGAGCACCAGCCTCGTGCAACATCAAAAAACCAAGACCACGTGGAATGGGTGACCTTTAATGGCAGATGATTTTCAATCATACGACTCTCTTGGATCTGTGTAATTAAGGACAAGACAGGCCTGAAACTGCTCTGCCTGCAGACAGCAGGAACCCACAGAGTTCCCTGTTCCCAAATGCAGGTAAAACATCCCCAAAAAGGGTTCAGAGATGTGCACATAGATCTTCTTCACCCCAGAATTCACCTTTTTAGAATTTTTCCATGAGTCCCCGTGCTGGAGAGCTCCAACAGCCCAAGGTACTGGAGCAGGTACTGTCTGCCCATGTGGGATCTCAGTTCCTTGGGTGGCTCTGCCTTTTTGCCTCTCCTTCCCATGTCACCCATCCAACGTCACCCATTGTGTCCTCTTGTCCAGCAGGATTTGGGGGGCAGGACTGGCCCCTATTTACCTGTGCAGCATCCAACCCTGGGGGTGTAATCCTTCAGAATTCCAGCCAGGTGTCCTGCAACAACCCTCCTCTGTGGTGTCAGTGACTGCTGGCTAAAAAATGGGATTTGGGCACCTCCTGCTCAGGCCAGGATTGGTGGCAATGGCCTTGTCCCCCAGCAGCTCAGGCATGGATTTTTTTCCCACCAGCCTGGCAGCATCACCATTGGATTGGACACCTCCTGCATCCAGGATGAGATTTGTTCTCTCTCCATGCTCGGCTTGGGATATGTTAGAAGTAACACATGTAGTGACAGGATAAGGGGGAATGGGCTCAAACTGACAGAGAGAAGGGTTAGATGGGATATTGGGAAGGAATCCTTCCCTGGCAGGGTGGGGAGGTTGCTCAGACCTGACAGGCTGCCCAGAGAAGCTGGGGCTCCCTCATCCCTGGAAGTGTCCCAGGCCAGGTTGGAGCACCCTGGGCTGGTGGAAGGTGTCCCTGCCCGTGGCAGGGAGTGGCACTGGATGGGCCTTAAGGTCCCTCCCAACCCAAAGCATTCCAGGATTCTGTGATTCCATGATGTCAGCCCCAGCCCTCGAGCTTGGCTGTGTCTGGGCACAGACCCCACCACGGCAGAGCAGACCGAGCTCAGGCGACGTGAAATTCAAGCGACGCCCACGCCACTAAAAATACGGCGCCGACGCCAACTCTTCATCTGGGAAGAGGAACCACCGGTGTCGCTGCCTCTTGGATGAGGCTCAGCACTCGAGTCCTGACCATATTTAGCCATAAGATCATCTCCCAGGACTTCACAGAATCATGGAATCACAGACCGGCTTGGGTTGGGAGGGACCTTAAAGCTCATCCAGTTCCACCCCCCTGCCACGGGCAGGAAACCAGGAATTCTGCAGGAGAGCGGAGCTTTAGAGAAAATTATTCTGGCCCAGCGCCAGCTCTGCCTTTATTATTTTCCCTTGTTATCTCCAGGCTTCATTTCACCCCCTAAATTGCTGTGTTGAGTTTCCCCAAGGTTTCTAAAATGCTGCCCTGCTACGGAGGGAGCTACAGGGAGGAAATTCTGTCTCCCCAAAATGCCCCACACAGCTGAAATCAGGCCACCTATTTAGGTGTCGGGTTCAGATTTTGTCATTGCAAGCACAGAAACTTGAAACACTTTGCCCAAATGTGTTGAAAGCCACGAAGACATTAAAGATTATTCATGGAATAAATATTCATTTGCAGGAAGAGGTCTTTTTTCTTCATGCATGAATATTTCAGGCAATGTGTGCAGGCGCTTCCAGAAAAAAGGTGATCACATTCTGAGTGCTGTTTGAATAGCTCCTAATACTAAAGATATCAGGGATTCAAGATACCAGGATACCTTCTCTTTGAGATGTAATCATGGAATAGAATCATGGAATGGTTTGGGTTGGAAGAGACCTTGAAGCTCATCCAGTTCAACTCCCCTTGCCATGGGGCAGATTCTAACCGAGTTAAAAATCCTTCCTAGATTTTCCTTAGCTAATCATTATTACTGAAAAATTCCCTGAGAGTCTCTGTTCAAACTTTCCCTCCAGGTGCTTCGACACCATCACTCTGCTGATCATTTTTAACCACGAACACATTGCACTGAACACCAGAAAAAAAAGGTCCTTATTTTATTTCCCCTTCCCCTGGTGGCTTTTTCCCTGCGGAAAGGCCGATCCCTGTGCCAGCAGCACACCAAGGGATGCGGCTTCACCTCTCCAGCTTTCCCGGGCTCAGAATTCCAAGGTTTTTTTGGAGTCCTGTGTGGAGCTCTGGTACCATCTAGTGTTACTGGGGAAGCCTCAGCCGCTGGATGTGGCTTTTCCTCGCTGCAGCCGAGCTGGGCTGCCCGGAGGAGTGGCCTGTCGCCACACGAGGAGTCGCCTGTCGCGACAGGAGGTGGCGATCAGGAGCGACGATACCCAGTGACAGCGTCTCCTCCGCCACCCGCTGTGGCTTGGGGTGAGCAGATGCAGCAGGACTGGAAGAGAAGCAACTCCCCGTGCTGTGGGGAGGCGTGTGGGCCCACACCGGTGTGTCACCTCAGGGTGTCACCTGAGGGGTCGGGGCCACCACGACGCCCCCGAACCCCCGGGGCGATGCTTCACCACCTCCCTGCGCCTCACGCACCAAGAAGCCCCGCAGGGCTTCTCCACAGAGGGCGGAGGGCGGGGGTTTATTTATTTGAACAGTTTATTTAAACGGGTTATTGAAAGAGATTTAAACCGGGCGGTAGCTTCCCCCCCGTTCTCCCCCCCTCCCTCTAAAGCACTGCCCGCACTAAACATGGCGGCGGTCGCGGCCCGCCCGCCCCGCCGTGAGGGCAGAAGTGGCGCGAGCGGCCGCCCCGGAAGGGCTCGGGCTTTCAAAGAGTGGCGGGCTCGGGAGCGGGGTGCGACGGTGAGGGGGGAGCGGGGGAAAACGACGGGACCGGGGGGGAAAACGGGGGGACTGGGGGAAAACGGGAACTGCGGCGCTGGACAGGGCGGGAGGCGGCTGCGAGCCGAGCGGGAGCGGGTATGGGGCGGTTGGTCGCGCAGGGGGTGTGGCCGTTGGGAGGAGGCGGGTGAGGCGTCTGTGAGGGGTGAGGGGTCTGTGAGGGGCTCAGGGTGAGGGGTCTGTGAGGGGCTCAGGGTGAGGGGTCTGTGAGGGGTCTGTGAGGGGTGAGGGGTCTGTGAGGGGTGAGGAGGGAGAGGGAGCCAGGGAGGGGTCTGGGGGGAGCTGGGGCCGCGAGGGAGGGCAGGGGGCTGGGGAGGCTTGTGTGAGGGCTGAGGGGATGCTGGGGGAGTAATAGGCCTGATGGAATCCTGGAATGGTTTGGGCGGGAAGGGACCTTAAAGCCCATCCAGTCCCACCCCTGCCGTGGGCAGGGACACCTTCCACTAGCCCAGGTTGCTCCAAGCCCTGTCCAACCTGGCCTGGGACACTTCCAGGGATCCAGGGGCAGCCACAGCTTCTCTGGGCAACCTGTGCCAGGGCCTGCCCACCCTCCCAGGGAAGAATTCCTTCCCAGTATCCCATCTAGCCCTGCCCTCTGGCCGTGGGAAGCCATTCCCCCTTGTTTTTAGAGTTCTTCCAAAGCCGGTCCCACTAAACCCTCCAGAAGGACTGAAACGAGAGAAGGGCCTAAAAGAGTTAACTGGGGTATCTTGCTTTGTTCAGAGAATTACCCTAGACCTGCTCTGCCTGTGCTGCTAAGGAAACATTGCAAAAACATTGATAACTCCTTCTGTTCTGCTTACTGGACCTAAACCTAACCATAAGAAGAATTGCTAGAAATACAATCAGCCTAGAGGTCGTAAATTAAGACAAGGTGGACATTTAAATAGGAGAAAAGGGCTTAGAGCCAAGGGGTTTTGCAAGCCTCAGTAGTTAGGACAGTAACAATGGACAGGTAAGAAGGTCAAAGCGAGGAAGAAGAGAACCAGACCCCTGAGTTAAGGCTGAAGGGCGGAAAGACCACCAGAACCCCGTGCCAGGAGAAGAATCTGGAAAGCACCGCCCTGAGCCCGCCCATGGTTAATATGTATAATTAGATGTACCCCCAGATGTACCCACATGAATATGTATGTTGAGGTGTTGTAATCAGGAGTGCAGACTGTATAAATTACCTTGGTTTGCCTTGATGCCTTGAGCAACACTGTCCAGAGCTGGCTCTGGACAGCGTTGAATAAACAAATACCTTGCTGCTTGTAGATGGAAATGTCTCTGAGCAGTTAATCATTCTGAGGTTTTTCGGTATCAGAACAGCACTGATCACGTTCAGGGGTTTATTTTCCTTCTTTTACCCCCACCTCCTTGGTTTTGGGGTTCTCTCAGCACTGCATGGAATTCCAGTGTTTTTTGAGCTGCTGAGGATGAAACACTTCGGTCCCTGGTGTGACTTACCTGACAGAGATGAAGAATTTGGGTGCTTGAGGGGTCCTTTTCTTACCTCGTTGAGGAGCTTAAAATTGTGAGCTGTCTCTGTGTTTTGTCTGTCGCCAAGTAGTTCCTTCCCTCTGGATTTCAGGAGCCATGGGGCCATCAGGAGAGGAGGAAGAGCAGAGCATAATCCTGATCAGTGATGATGAAGCCGAGAGCACCCCTGGGAATTCTGTCCTGTTTGTAGACCCCCAGGGTAAGAACTGCTTTTGATGAAGTTCCCTAAATGACTTTTAAAATAAACTGAATTAAATTATTGTCTGATGTGCCTGAAATCTGTCTTGCTGCTGCTAGAAAATCAAAGTGCTTCAAAACTTAGAAAAAAAACAGGAAGAAATACCATGATTTAGTAATTTTTAGGAATTTCTTTGATGGCACTGTTTAACCTAAAAGATGGCGCTGTGTAGTTTCAGAATATTACCAACTGAGCTAAAACTGGGCCTTTTCAATGTCAGGGGGCTCCTTTTTGATTCCACATTCTCTGTCCTGATAGTTCATGGAAGTTTTTTGGACCAAATGAAATCACAAGAAAATTCAGACCTGGAAGTGTTTAAAAAGATAAATGTCAGTAATTTGTAACGAAGTCTGCAGTTCCCTTCAGGCTGATTTACACCTCCTGTCCCCTTTCCTACAGAGGAACCTGCCCTGGGAGAGGAGAAACCTGAGGTTGTGGATGAGGAATGTGAATTGATGGTCACTTTCTGTAAACAAGCCAATGTGATGCCTCACGCAAGATACGACTGCACCACACACCCCTTCGAGTATGTTCAGGGCTGGGGAGGGTCACCTGCGGGCTGGTTGTCCACAGCTGGTCCCTTTGGTCACCAAACCTCATGAGCTTTGTAAGAGCTGGAAGCAGGAGTGGAGCTGGATGAGGATGTAATTTGTTTCCTGAACAACCTTCTTTTGCAGGAGAACAGAATGTGACACTTGCTCACCCCTTGGGGAAAACGCTGACATTTGTGACCAGTGCTACTGCTACATCTGTGACAAACTGGCTTCTGAGGTGAGAGGGCAACTGGGAGTAAATAAATTAATCATCCATAAAAAGAATCCTGGAATGGTTGGGGTTGGGAGGGACCTTAAAGCCCACCCAGTGCCACCCCCTGCCATGGGCAGGGACACCTCCCACCAGCCCAGGTTGCTCCAAGCCCCATCCAACCTGGCCTGGGACACTTGCAGGGATGGGGCAGCCACAGCTTCTCTGGGCAACCTGTGCCAGGGCCTGCCCACCCTCACAGGGAAGAGCTGAAGGGCACAAAACCAATAAGTGATACATGAAATTTGACTGTTTTAACAGTTCCTCTCCTCAGTGTTGATTCCTGTCTGCTTCATAGCCACTGAAAGTGTGGTTCTGTCAGGGTTTATTTCTGATAGTCCAGGCAGTTGTTGGAGTAAACTTTTAAGAGGTGTAAGCAAATTTACCTCCTGTTTGCTTTGGGCAAACAGTGCATTTCATAAAATCAAATTACTAAATCAGACTGTTTCTCAATGAACTCGACAGACGTCAGACTTTTAGACTGTCCTAACTTGGAGTGGGGGGAATTGTGTGTGTGGAGTTTGTTAGGGGGTTTCTTAGAATTCAGAGAACTGAGCTGTGAACAAAGTTGGGGTGGACATGCAAGGACAAGGCTCTGTTCCCAGTTTCCAGTGGGGAGGGTTCCAGCCCTGAGGGCCTCTGTAAAGTGTTTAGAAGTGACAGTAAATAATATTGGGGGTGTTTCTGTTCTTGTTTGCCATGATTCTGAGTGATTGTCACATTGAGTACTTCCCTGGGCCTTGCTCAGGTGTGTAAAGGCTGAAATGATTTGTAGCCCTTCACTCAGACACATTGGGGCTTTTTTGAGTTGCTCAACTGGAAGGGGGGAAAAACATAACACTAAAAAAGCCTTTCCCTGTTTTTTCTGTTTTCTCCCAACAGTGCCAGAACTGGACAACCCCCTCCCTGTGCCACTGCAATGCCCACAACAAGAGCAGGTTCTGGAAGGAGCGGCGGGACTTTGCCCTGGCCGGGGTGCTGGTCATGTTCAACCTGGAGCTGACGGACATCGACGCCGACCTGCGCCACGGGGGTGGGTGCTCTGCTCCCACGGTGTCCCAGGGGCCTGGGGAGCGGCTGCTCTGGGCCACAGCTGTCCCTGAGGGGGATCAGGGGGTTTTTAGGGTGGCAGGTTGCTGTTGCTGCTCTTTATCTGGGTCATGCTTGGAGCAGGCACAGGTCAGCAGGTCCAGCTTCCTGGTTGCCTCCCTCTGGAAGAGTCACAGAGTGGGTTGGGTTGGAAGCGACCTCAAAGCCCGTCTCATTCCACCCCCCTGCCAGGGGCAGGGACATCTCCCACTAGCCCAGGGTGCTCCAAACTCTGTCCAACCTGGCCCTGACCACTTCCATGGATGGGGCAGCCACAGCTTCTCTGGGCAACCTGTGCCAGGGCCTGCCCACCCTCACAGGGAAGTACCAGAAATGTCTCAAAACTCAACTGGAAACCCAAACAGAACCTTCTGCTCATGTTCAGCACGAAAACAACACCTTTCCCATCCCCTCACAGCACAGGCTCCTGTGCTCTTGTCTCTGGCCACCTCAAAATCAAGTGGAATATGGAAAATAGTTAACTTCAAGCTGGAAAGTGAGCACCCTGAGCCAGGTCCTCACCATCCTTCTTCCTGATATCCAACCTAAATTTCCCCTCTTTCAGTTTGCAGAAGCAGCAAACTTTCACCAACAAAACTGGGTGCAAGCAACTGCCTAAATAATCTTTACATGGTTGAACTTATGGCTGTCTCTCTTTTGGTTTGAAAAAAATTAGATGCAAAACTCTCAGTGCAATTTTTTTTTTGTTCTGTTTTGTCTCTTAGGAAGTCTGCTCATCAAATTTATGCAGGAACTTTATGTGGAATATAATAAGTACCTGACTGGAGAAAGGATACCTCCCACACAACATGAATGCTTCTGCCTGCCCAAATTGCCTCCTGGGCAGTGCAGTGCCTGCAGGTCACGGAACATGGAGGTTGTGTACAAGTGAGTGACAGCAGAGTCTGTTTGGGCTGGGCAGGTTTGATTTCTTTTAGCCAAGTGACAGTCACGATTGTGGCACCTGATGTAGCAGAAATGGAGTCGAGAGGGACAGGGAGCTGTTAAATTACACTTGAATGGAGTTCAAGCACCCTCTTAAATACATCTTTAAATACCTCTGTTGTGCCACACAAGACACCTGGTAATGTCTCATTTTTATAACCTGGGAAAGCAGGAAAATAAGGCCTGTATTTTAGGATGGGGCTAGATGGGATATTGGGAAGGAATCCTTCCCTGTGAGGGTGGCGAGGCCCTGGCACAGGTTGGGCAGAGAAGCTGTGGCTGCCCCAGCCCTGCAAGTGTCCAAGGCCAGGTTGGACAGGGCTTGGAGCACCCTGGGATAGTGGGAGGTGTCCCTGCCCATGGCAGGGAGTGGAATGAGATGAGCTTTAAAGTCCCTTCCCACCCAAACCATTCCAGGATTCTGTGGTTTTTACTAATTTGTGTTTTAGAGTGAGTTTCACCTTTTAATGGATGTAACAAGCCTTTAAAAAAAACACCGAAAGTAATTTTCATCATGTCATAAATCCTTTCCAGGCAAGGCAGCTTGTTCTCAAGCTGTAGAACAGTCACAGTTACCATTTGTTTGTGAAGTTCTTTGTTGCAGACCCTTTCTCTCATAGACCCCTTAACTTCCTCAGGTATTCTGACGTTTTTGCCCTGGTAACAAGATTTTTAAATCAGGCAGAGCAAGAAAGCCCTAAAGCTGCTGCTGTGATGCTGCTGGGAGCAGCTAAAGAGATTGCACTGCACAAAGACCCTTCTCTGTAAGTACCCAGGGCCACATCCACGTGGGACCTTGGCTTCTCCAAGGGAAGGGAGTTGGTGAGGGAATTCCAGGGTTCCATTTGTTTCGGGTAAGGAAATGTCAGAATCCCAGCCCGGGCTGCAGCACAAGAGGAAGATGAGCCCAGCCGAGGGAGAAGTGGGATTGGTTCCAGCAGGGATTTGGATGCATTCCTTGGGAAGGTCTTTCCTTATACACTTCCTGGCATTAGGCACTGCTGCAAAGCACTGTCAATTCTGCAGCAGGTTTTGCACTGTGAGCGTTTGTTTGACCTGTTTGCAGTAGGTTTTGTTAGCATGACAATTTCCAGTGCTTTTTAAGGAAAAGTGTGGAGTACAGAGAAGGGGAGAAGGCAGGAAAACCAGGCAAAGATTAACTAGTGCTCTTTTCCCTCCCTCTTAGAAGCTGGCAGAACCTTGGCCATACTGCTTCACTGAAGATTGCTGTCCCATGTCTGTTCCAAAGGTGAGATTTGTTTTCTCCCTGGCTACAAATTCTCTGTTTGCTTTTAAAATGCAGATTCCAAATGGCAATTCCTCTGTTCAGAGGCACGTGGGGTGTTCTGGAAGGGCAGAGCAGAGGGTGTCAGGTGCTGCTGGTTAAACCAAAGAGCAAATAGCGTCTGTTAGAGATCAAAACAGCAGCCTTGGAATATTCCACTGGGATGGAGTAGCCAGGGATGTAACATAGTAAAGCTCCCCCAGGGGCTGGGGAATGAGGACATCCAGCTCCCTTGGCTTAATTCAGTTCTCATTTTAGCTTTAGCTTTCCCCTTTCACCCCAAATTCACTTGCCACAGAAGGTTAATGAGTTAAGAATTAACTTCTTTCAGGAGCACTCAAACCCAATTCCATATTCCCATTTTATCTGAAACTAAGGACAGGTATAACCCAAATCCTTGAGCACTTTGCATTTCAAATTCCTATTCCTGAAGTTTTTAATTTCTTACCTTTAAAGAACAGGAAATGCATTTTTTTACCTCCCTCCCAAAAGCTTAAAAGAGTAAACTCTTGTTTGTGATCTCCAGTTATCAATTAATCCAGAAATGGTTCCAGGAGCAGGGAGGGTGCAGGAGCTCAGGTGGATTATCAAGTCCATCATAATTTGCAGTGTTTTTTGTACATTCTCCCTGGAGATCTTTGTTTCAAAGCTTAAAACCACAAACCCTTGCCTTCACTGGTATTAAAAATAACAGCAAAAGATTAATATCATTATTCACTACAAATCTTAAAGCAGAAATTTAAATATAGATTCTGTCTGATATTTAACTAAAAAAAAACAACCCCAAACTTCTGTAGTTTCTCACATGATTAAAAAAAAGACCCATCTTAATAGCAATTAATCTAATTTTAAGATACTACTTTTTTTTCTTTTCAAATCACAGGATCACAACCCAACTTCAGAGGATGCTGGTGTTGTGTGACTTTCCAAAAACTCTGTATGAGAAGTTTATTAATTTCTTTCAGTCCATCTCCCTTCCCTGTCACTGCTTTGGCTTCTCAAACAGGTATGTTCTTTGCCTTTTTGTCCCCAGGATATATTTTTATATAGTTGCCTTGTTGGAAAACAGCTCTAGGGGTTGGTTCTTTCCTCGACAGTAAAAGTGGGAGCATTTTAGAGGAATATTTTGGTACTAACTGCTTTTTATTTGTGTGTTTTATTTATTTATTTGATGGGACAAATAAGTTGCTCACCATACAGCTTTTTATTTTCTTTTCCCCAAAACTGAGCTGCAAACCCCAAAATGATTTATTAGTAAATCTTCATACTACTTAAAGGGAATAAATTGGGATTTAACACCAGAACAAGAGTTAAACTGCCTTTGTTTTTGCCCTCCCAGCCTGAACGTGGTGCCCTGGGACCACGGGTTGCTGACCACGGTTCTGAAAGGCCAGAACATCACGGGGCAGAGGACACAGAAAGGCAGGAAGATATTCCTCTGGGAAACACTCCCTGTCATCCAGGCCCGAGTGGAGAGACTGCTGGACAAGAAGAAGTAAGTTTGGTGTGGGATTTTCTTTTTGGAAACTCAGCTCTCACGTTTGGACTGCAGGGGAGTGTTTTCCAAACCTCTGCAGTTTGGCAGAACGGGCAGGCACAAAACAAGGACCCCTTGGAAGCTGTTCATGCCCCCTGTTCCTTATCAACCAGACCAGGAGCTTTCTGAAGAAGGGGATGATTTCTGTGTTTCCATAAGCCCTGTGGGTTTTCAGATGTTGATTTTAAAGCAATTTCTGTTCATCAAAGGCTGACTAGTGGAAGACAGCCAGAAAAATGTGTCCTGGGTCTTCAGAGGTCTGTGTTCAAATGAATGCAATGTTCAAAAGAATACAGTCCATTAAAGAATTAAACTGAAAGGCAACCTCCTGGTTGATTTTTACCAGAGCAGAAATAATCAGTGAATAACTTCTTGGAATTTATTTCAACTGTCTCTTGCTTCCAGTTGTATTTCCACCCTCTTGTGTGGGAAGATCTGTTGTTTTGCTTCATTAATTACTGTAAATATTTGATTGAGCTGTCTGTAGCTCTGCACTTCCTTCCCTTTTCCTACTCACCCTCTTTGTTTCTCTCCCCAGCTACAAAGAAGTTGTTCGTTACCTGAGAGCTGTGAAATGCAATGACACCAAAGGGTAAATGGCTTTTGCCCTTCCCCCCTTTCTTCCTGCCCAAGCACAATCAGATCTCTACATACACCTTGTAAAGAATTCCTGCTGATGACAATCACATCCTCGTCTCTTCTGCCCAGGTTGAGAGACCTCAGGGATAAGATCCCCTTCTACCTGTGTAAAACTGGGGATTTCCTGGATGCTGCCCATTCCCTGCTGTTCCCAGTGAACAGCCTGGCCTGCTGCTCTGCCTGCAGGATCACCCCCTGCGAGTTCCAGGCCTACCTCAAGATGTTCAGGACAGGCTGTGTTCCCCCTGGCAATGACATGCTGCAGACTGGGCCCTGGCTCACAGTTGGCAAGTGTCACTTCTTGCTTGTGTGTGTTTAGAGCTTTGACTTTCCTATTAAATCAGATGGAAAATGTTCCATAACCTGTGCATTCCATTCTGTCTTCAGTTCAGCACTGATGAGTGGGATGATCTGTCCTGGTGCAGATCTTTGCAGCTTTCCAGAGCTGTGTTTTACAGTTGATGGTTTTCCATTCTACCTACAAAACATTGTAAAATAGCTGTAGATCCCTGTGTGGCTCTGTTGGATTTCTGTACCAACATGTCTATAACTAAGTTAGTATCTTGTTTGTACCACTCTGTAATTTTGCAGGGAATCTAAGACATGGTTTGGATTTATTTTTTTCTCTCCTCTTGCAGGGTCTCCCCTCAGGGAGGGTGTGCTAATTAAACAGGCACTCAAACTGCTTTACAGCAACGTGTCACTGTACAGGAATGTGAGTCATTAAAACTTTCTCTAAATTACCTCTTCTGTCCTGTTACTTCTCCAAGGCAAGGGTTTACCCTCAGAACCTTTTTTTTTCTCTGAATAATTCACACCTCTGTGGACAGATTTCACTCTGTAATGCAAATGTTCTGTTGTGTTTCAGCCCAAGTGCTGGAGTTCCCTCATCATGGTTTTGGGGAGCAGCAATCTGCTGGCAAAAAGTGGGCACCTACATCCCTTATCCCTGAAAGAGCCACCACTTGACTTCCAGGAGGTACCTCAAACCGTGCTGGGAAGTGGGAGATCTGTTGTCTTGGTTTTGTACAAGATTTTTTGATGTTTGCATTGACTGGTTCTCCTAAATGCCAGGGTTAACTTTCCAGGGCCTCATCCAGTGCTGCATTTTCTGTGCCAAGTGTAAAACTGTGGAATGTTGGGATTCAGGGATGTTAAAGGTTAATTGTGCTCCCAGCTCAGTGCCTGGGACTGATTCCATGTCTGTTCATGTTGAGATGGATCAGATAACAAAGGGCCTGGAGTGACAGGACAAGGGGGAATGGCCTCACACTGCAGGAGGTTCAGATGGGAGATTGGGAAGGAATCCTTCCCTGTGAGGGTGGGCAGGCCCTGGCACAGGTTGCCCAGAGAAGCTGTGGCTGCCCCAGCTGTGGAAGTGCCCAAGGCCAGGTTGGACAGGGCTTGGAGCACCCTGGGCTAGTGGAAGGTGTCCCTGCCCATGGCAGGGGATGGCGCTGGATGGGCTTTGAGGTCCCTGCAACCCAAACCATCCTGGAATTCTACCAAAGATCATCACAGAGCCCTGCTGGTGCTGTGTGAGTGTGGGGAGTGTGTCCATCCCCCCTTACCTGTGCCTCCTTCCCCCCCCTGCAGGGAGTCCTGGCTGCCAGCGGGAGCCTCCTGGAGGAACTGAAGGCCAAAGTGAATGTTTCTTTGCCACCTTCTATTTTCTCCCCTCAGGTGGGTGTGCTCATGGCAAGAGGGGAATTCACCATCTGGGTTACTGTTCCTGAGCTATAACAGTGGGCTGGTTATAACAGGCTTTTAAAAGGGGCTGGAAGATATTTTTTTGGTGGGGGAAACAGCTTAGAACTGTTGTTAGCAGAGTTTGAAGGCTGGAGCAGAGATCTGAAGGTAAGAAAACTATGAGGGTCTGTTCTGGTCTGACACATATTCAGTCTAGGACAAGTTTTACCTCCTAACTGTTCAAATTTATGCTTTTAGAAAGTGGGAGGGCTGTAAGTAAAAATTGATTCTGTTTTAATGTCTCTCCTATAGCTGCACCACGAGGCTTGTCTCATCCTGGCAGTAAAAGCAGTGCAACAGATGCTCTTTTGTGACCTTCCATACCTGACTTCCTTCCTAGAGATAGCCCTGGCTTTTGGGGTGAGTCCTGGGTACTGATTTCTGTTCTAAGAGATTAAATCAAACGGCATTTAAAATCCCTGCAACGCCATCGTGGAGGTTTTGGACACATTTAACTTGTTTCAGCTTTACTCTTTATTATAATCTTTTTGTTTGGCTGGGGTGTTTTTTTTGTAGAAATTGTTGCTAAATCCCTGGTCCTCCTTTCTCTCCCCCTAGAATAACTTCTGGGCTCTGAGGCTGCTGCTGGAGCACCTCTCCTACCAAGAGCACATTCTCCAAGGCACTGTAGCCCTGATTGTGAGAGACCTCAGTCGCCAGAAAGCAACAGTGCTGAAACTGTGAGTAAACACTGGCTGCTGAGCTCTGATTGTTTATGGAAACAGCAGAGCAGCCCCAGGGCACAGAGATAATCCCCAGCTCTTGGAAAGCAGCCAGAAATCAGGGATGCCAATCCTAGAATAACCCAGGTGAGTTGTCTCAGCAGCTCTTCCGTTTGCAGGTGGCAGAACCTCGGTGCCCAGTACGTGGGTGAGTTCCTGTGCCTGTTCCTGACCTGCAGCCACCAGGAGATGCAAAACATTGGCCTCTTCAGCCTGAACATCATCACAGAGAACCTGCACACGTGAGTGGAGCTGCTCAGAGCCACGTGGGAGATCCTGGGGCTGCCTCAGAGCAGGGCTCACAATCTCTCTCTGTGTTTCAGGTGTCCTTGGGCAAAGCATCTCTGCAGCTTTTTCCACACCTCAGTGAGTACCTCGATGGTTTTAGCATTATACTGTTACATTTATAATATCTTAGACCACATTTATAATATAAATGTATTCTTACAGTAAAATAATTAAATAACAGACATTATTTACCAACAAAGCAGACCAATGACAACTACATTGCTTGCCAGTTAGATATTTAACCATGTAATTTTGTCTGTAATGTATCAAATATATGAATTTAAATTTTTCGCACCAGCCTGAAAATTTCCCAAAGGAATTAACTCCCATTTCTCTGCCCAGGGTTTGAGGCACCTCCCCCCTGGCACAGAAGCTCACCACGAAGTCTCAAAGTTCCTAAAACTGTTTGAAGAACTGTAATTTGACTTAAATCTTTGGTTTTTCTGAGCACTGTCTTCCTGGAGCCCCTTGGTTTTCCTTCAGTTTTCATCTCCAGAAACATTCAGCTTTTTAAAAACCGACTTCAGAGCGAGGCCCTGAGCGGGGAGAGGGAGCTGTGATTTGGGAATGTCCTTTCCTGCAGTTCCACAGGTTGCAAGAGCTTTAGGTTGTTTTAAGGAGCTGATCCCCAGAGATTCTGGGAGAGGAGCACGGATGGGGCTGGAGCACCACGAGCTGTCACTCCTGGCATGGCAGGACAAGGCAAAACTGCTGAGAGGGGGAAAAGCTGAAACCAGGAAAATCCCTGTTTGCCAGGAAAGCAGGAGCTGCTGGAGGCTGAAGGATGGACCAAGTTTCTCCAAGCAGCCCCCTGGGGAGGAGGGGCTGGAGCAGCCAAGAGCTGGGTGGGTGTGTAAATCACCCCAGTCTCAGGCTTGGTTTTGATTCCCCCAGCAGGGGAGGGGTGGGCTGAGCCTGGGGGCTCTCAAACCCGACCCCCTGGGCTGTTTTACACCTGTGGAGGTGAAAAGGGGCTGTTTCTCTCCTGGTTTCTGCTCCTTCCCACCCTGATCCCAGTCTGGCAGCGAAGGCAAACAATGTGCTGGACTGCACTTTGCACATTTAAGGGTTTTGGAGGGTTTTGTAGCTTTTGGCTTCCCAAAGAAGCTGCAGTTACTTGAGTTTTCTACACAGAGTGCACCTAAATCAACACCACGTCAATTAAATATGTATCAACTTTACTGTCAGTTGGATTGTTTTGTTTGTTTGGGGAGTTTGATGTTTGGGGAGTTTTTTGACCCTGGTTTTTTTTGGGGGGGTTGGAGTTTTTCGAGGGGGTTTTGTTTGGGGTTGGGATTTTTTGGCTCCTTAGTGGTGGTTGGGTTCTCTTTGGATTTTTTTGGGGGGGGGGTTTAGGGGCTTTTGGGTTTGGGGGTTTTTTTCCACTTGTTTTTTTGGGGAGTTGGCTTCTGTTTGGAGTTTTTTGGTGGGGGCTTGGGTTTTTTTGGACTTTGGGTTTGTGGTTGGGATTTTTTGTTTTTGCTTGAGTGGGGTTGCTTTTTCAGTTTTGTTTTAGCTGAGGTTTTGGGCTTTTTTGGCTTTGGGTTGGACTGGGATGGAAGTCCATATTCCTCTGTATCACCCTGTTCCAAACCCAAGGAGAGGGATCAGGTGAGGGCAGGTGCCTTGTTCCCCCTTCAAACCTGAATTTCCCAGGGCAAGGAAAGGCTGGGAACTGCTCCTTTACTGTAAGTAAACAGCACATCTATTCATAATTTATCCCCTTCTGAATTTTAATGGCCTATAGCAGCCCTATAGATCCCATAGATAAGGGTTTAATCTTTTATGGATGAGAAAAAGGACTTTGTGTGGAGCTCTGCACTCCACTCGGGCAGGAATTGCCATCACAGTGGAAAACCCAAAGGTGAAGCTCCAGGTATAACTGAGATGAAACAGCTCATTAAAAATTGAAAAGTGTCTCCAAAAAGTCTCCAAAAAAACTGGAGAAGGAAGTGGGGATCTGGAGCTGCTTCATCCAAATGTTGTATTTCAGCAAACACAGCCCTGCTGCTGGAGCTCAGCTCAGCTGAGGCTGCCAAGCTCTGAGTGCAAGAGCTGCAAGGAAGGCCCTGTATCAAAAAGGCAATTTCAGCTGAAAATAAGGAATTTATCCCATATCCTTCAAGTCTGGGGTGGGAATGTGGGAATGCCATCCCCTAGTCCAGGGAGGAATGGACCTGCCTTGGCTGGGGACAGCAGTTCCTGTGCTGGGTCTGTGCAGCCCCTGGAGCACGAACAGGGTCTTAAGGACATTTCTAATGCACTAATTGTTTAAAATTGTTTGAATTGCTCTCAGGATGCTCTGTGTAAATCCCCTCACTGTATTTAAGGAGCAACAAGCCCTGGAGCTGCTGCTACACCCGTGTGTCCTTCCCAGCCCTGCTCAGTGAGGAACGGGATGCACATCCCAGCAGTGGAATCCTGGGCAAGGAAGGTGAGATCGTTTGGGATATGAGGAGAGAAGGAAGGGGAGGGGGGGAAGCTTTAACCCTTCCTGAGGTGGGATCTGTACAGTGCAGTGTTAGGGGGAGGATTTGCACCCACCCAACTCTGCCTCTGCCTCAGCTGCACTTACCCCCTCCTCTGCTCCAGTGCTCAGACCATTCCTGCAGGATTTGCTGCCCTCAGAGAGGCAGGTGAGGGGCAGGTTCCATGCCCAGGATGCCCCCCTGTCCCTGTCCTTGGATTTAATCAGGTGAGGGCAGCAGTGGGAGGGGGCTGCGAGTCCCTGCCATGCACAGGAGTCTCCCAGCTGCCCACCCGGCCAAAAATACTCAGTTTTAATAACAGCACTACGCAAAATCAAAGCCGGGCTCGTTGCTGCTGCCAGATTAACAGATGGCCCCGATCATTAATATTGCAAAACTTCAGGAGTTCATAATTCTTTAATCTACCCAGCCGAGGGGGGTGGGGAGTGCAGGCCCTGCAATCTGCTGTGCCAGGGGCTGCCACCCACCACCCACCAGGGTTGGGCCCCCCCAAATTTGGGCACATTTGCTGCTGGTCCCACCTGCCCAGACAAACCCTGGCCATGGAGCTGCTCCCGGGCCGAGCTCCGGCAGGAGGGACGGACCCAAACCCCCTGGGCTCGTGGTTGGGGTCGCTGGGGGCTCCTGAATTCCCCCCGGGGCCATCAGATCAAGGCAAATCCAGGGAAATCCAATCCCCCACCCCAGCGATGCTTTGCCCTTAAAGCCGAGCCTTTACGAGGCTGTGGGGAGGCAGCGCAGGGAGATTAGGGCTGATGTCAACAGGCGGATAATCCCGACTCCTGCAGCATCACCGGCCAGGGGACCCCCGCAGGAGCCCCGCGGGCTCGGGGGGTGGTTCCAGCAGAGCAGAGCTCCGGGTTTGGCCCCGAACAGCTCCATCGATCCTGGCCCGGCCCCAGCTCCTGCCTCCTCCTCTCCCGGAGCACTGGTGGCTCCAGGAGGCTGCAGGGAGGCTCTTCCATCGATTATCCATGAGGGATGAGGGTGGAAGGGAGCCTGGATCAGCACCAGCCTCCTCCTGGCACCTACATGCTGGGCTGAGAAATCAAACGTATATGTTAATATATATTTTTATATATTTATTTTTATATTTTTATTTAATATTTTTAATATTTCCTATATCTGGCCTATACAGAGAAGATGCCTCTTTCAGTAAACCTTTATATATACATATACACACATACATACTTACAGAAATATATATAAATATTATTTTATATATAATGCACATATAATAAATTATATAATACAATATAATACAATATATATTATCATGGAATGAGATCATCTTTAAGGTCCCTTCCAACCCAACCCATTCCATGACTCTATGATATAATATATAATAATTTTATATATGTCTTCATATATATATGCAAACACACATAAATGTAAGCATGTCTCTGTGTGTCTACATGTATTTCTGTGCATTGTATATTGTCTGTAAAGCATATAAGACATAACAAATCTGATATATGGTATAAATTGGACTGTATTTCCACACATGCATGGAATATGAATATCTATTTCCCACTGCCATGCATATTTTTGATATATATAGTTGTGTGTGTATTTATGTATATCAACGTGTATATATAAAGAGACTCTTTATATGTGCATATGCACATATAACATAATAATATAACACAATACAATATAACACAATATAATATATCATATCATGGAATGAGGTCCCTTCCAACCCAACCCATTCCATAATTCTATGATTCTATTATATCATTTTATATATTTTTATATATATATATGTGTGTGTGTGTGTGTATTTTGCAGAGAGGACAAACTCCTTTAAGGCCACAGGTCCAGGAAAAAGGAGCTTTAGGAGCTGGATTTGGGCAATTTTTACTTTGTGCAAACCTTGTTTTGTTTTGGTTTTTTTTAAGCAGCAAAGTTTGCCTGAAGTTCAGTTTTAATGTGTTGTTTAATGAAGGGGGGTTTGTGTTGGGTGTCACCTCTTTGTGGTTTCTCATCAATTATCTTGGCTTTAATCGGTTCCCAACTGTTCCAGGGTTTTGTGGCTCCCTATAAATCCCACATCGATATTTTCTGAACGTTGCCCTTTTCCCCTTGTGCTGACCCTGCCCTTTCACCCGCCAGATGTTCAGTCCCAACTGCTCACTTGGGGCATTTATCCCTCTTTCTCTTTCCCCCTTTTTTCACCCCATCCCTCCCCAGGTGCCCCCCAGCCTCTCCTGCCCCTGCAGCACCAGGAAAGCGGGAAGAGCCCCAACATCCCGAGGCAGCCGAGCGGGAAAGGCGCGGGGGGCTGGCTTTGCTAGGGATGCTGCCGGGAACGCAGGCAGGGACGCAGGGAGGGATGCGGGGCCTCCCTGGGGTTCCACCGTGTCCCACCACACCCCCCCTCCCTCCTGGGGGCCCTTCTGTCCCCGGGGGATGCGGGAGGGCCGGGATAACCCCAATTTGGCAGCTCGGCCGCCGGGTACCGGGGCTGTGCTACCATCCCGGGCGCTCCCGTTCCGCGGAGCCAAATCCCCCGGGAGCAGCGGGGGGAGGACGCTCCCATTATCCGGCTCCTGCCGTGGCGGAGGCAGCTGGACCAGCCGTGCATTAATAGATTACACAGAGGATTTGGGCTCGCCACCATCCAGGGAAGCGCTCGCGGGAGGGACACGGGCAAGGCCAGGGCGGCTTCCCGAGCGCCGGACGCGGCCCCGCTGCCATCCCGCTGACTCCTTCCCCCGCACAGGTAGGTGCAGGGCTCGCTCCTGGCGCCGGGATGGCTGGAGCAGGGATGGGGATGCTGGTCCCCATCTGCCTGCAGCGATCAGAGCCCGGGGAGGCCGGAGCGTGGGGGCTCGTCCCTCTCCTGGATGGTTTTCGGGGATGCTCTGCAGAGAAGCGGAGCTGGGGCAGCCCGAGCGGCTGCCGAGCTGTGCTGGAGCGGGGCTGGCGTTGAGCTGTGCCTTGGGGGGATGGATTTCACCCCCCTCCAGCACCCCCAGCCCTTCCCTGACCTTCTCCTGCGGGCTGCAGCCTGGGCAGGGGGCGGGACGGGGCTTGTGGGCATCCTTGGAGATCATCACCCGGGGAGCACCCGGAGGGTCCGGGGTCCCCTTGTGCCACCGATTTTTGGGGTGGCACAGGGACACGGGTGCTTGCAGAGGGTCTCGCGTGGCTGAGTTGCCGCTTGTGCCCCATCAGCTGCTGTGCCTCAGTTTCCCCATCACTCACGTCCCCACCCAGGGCCACTGCTGGGGGGAAATGGGGGTCGGGGGGGTTGCTTTGCTCCCCAAATCAGTGCTCACCATCCCCGCGAGCCATTTCCAGGGCTGTTTACACCCAAAATCCCTCCTGGCCCACTGGGATCTGTGACCAGGCAGGAGAAGGACAAACAACCCCCTCCCCTCCCCAAAAAGCCTCCGGGAGCCCCGAGCGACACCACCATCCAAATTTCAGTCAAATCTGGCTGGTGCCCTGGGTTTTGCATGCGCCCCTGGGCTGCAAGAGAGGGGGGCACTGAGCACCTGCCCATGCCAGCCTCACACCCACAGGGCAGAGCAGCCTCTGCCTCGCCAGAACAACCCCAAAGTCTCCTGGAGCCACCGGTGGGGTTGGAAACCTCCCCCGGAGCGGGGTGACATCTGTGCCCATCCTGGGGGACCCCTCTTTGGGGGTGCAGAGCTGGGGGGATCGGGGCAGGACAGGACCTCACTGTGCCCGTTCCCAGCCCCACAGGGCCCCTGGACCCCGCCATGGACGAGTGGGACCTCCCGCAGTGGAAGAAGGAGGTGGAAAGCCTCAAGTACCAGCTGGCCTACAAGAGGGAGATGTCCTCCAAGACCATACCTGAGTGAGTGGGTGCCCACCTCCCCCCTCCCTCCCATCCTCCTTCCCATCCCTGTGAGCAGAGTCCGGCTCTTCTCCACCCCAAACTCCCCCCCTCAAATCTCCTGGGGGTCCCCAAAGGAGATTTTCTCCTTTATGGCTCTTCAAACCCTCCAAGCCCCAGCAGCAGAAGCCCACCAGTGTCCCCAGAGCCCCCTGTTCCTCTCCACAAATCCCCCTGGACCAACCCCTTTCAGCCACCCCAAGCTCCAGTTGGGACGTGGCAGCAACCACAGGACCCCCAGGCACCCCGTGAGCCCCTCAATGTGCAGGTCCCCTCTTTCCAAAAGGCTTAAACCTGTAAAGTCAAGCCGTGGGTGGGGATTTTTCCCTCCTGGTTTGCACCTCTCTGCTCCCCCAGCATCATTCCTGAGGGATCAGGGTGCAGGATTTACCCCGGACACTGAGCCCCCCCAGTTCCCATTTTGCTGCCCCCCAGGCCCTGCCCTACCCCCCTCAACCCTTCGAGCAGGGGCTGTGCCCACCCCTCCTGTCCCTCTCCACAGGTTTGTGAAGTGGATCGAGGACGGCATTCCCGAGGATCCCTTCCTGAACCCGGAGCTGATGAAAAACAACCCCTGGGTGGAGAAAGGCAAATGCACCATCCTGTGAGGGGCCCCCCCTGCGCTCCCCCTGCTGAATGTACTTTTTTATTAGTTAGTTCCAACATGAGAACCTGAACAAAACCCTGCCCTCACCTGTCTCCTTCTTTGTAGTGCTAGAAGTGGTTTTATATTTGGGGGGACACGGGAGGGGCAGAGCTGGGGGAGCAGGAGCAGCAAAGGTTTTTCCAGGGTTTTTCTGCAGCTTCATTCAGACCTCACCCCCCTCTGCCATCAAAACAGGAACATTTTGCAACTTGTAAAGAAAATTTTTATAAAAGACCCCCTCATTTTCAGTGATTTTAAATACTTTTGTATACTGTAGGATATCTCATTTTGCAGCAAAACAGGCACAATATGACAACTAAGGGTTTATCAATAAACAGAACAATACTTCGTTATTAATTTTTTAGACATATTTTATTTCATTTTTTTCTAAACAAAGTAAGTCGGTAATAAAAAAAAAAAAACCTAAACAAAGATGATGGGACACACAGCCCATCCATGGGTTAGAGAGCCAAAAAATCCAGCTGATCCCTGGAGTTCCAAGGCTGATTTCCTGGCTCCAGCCCTGCTAGAGCAGGTCCCTGATGTAGATGTTCCTCCTGACAGCGTTGGAAAACCCCTCGTTGAACCGGAACCACACGTCGCTCTTCCCCACGGCCTTCCCGATCTGCTTCTCCAGGGACTCTCCCTTGGAGGCCTGAGGGGCTGCAGGGGGGGAAAATCCACCTCAAAAACTTGCAGAAAACCTTAAAGTCCCCACCTGTGCCCAGGCTGGGGGAAGAGGGGGAAATCAGGGAGCTGCTGCCAGGAACAGGGGGCTTGGGAAGGGCAGAGCTGATGCTCCCATGTCCTGGATCTTGCAAACCCTTCAGCACCCATAATTCCCATGGGATGGTGCCAGAACCCAGGGACTTTGCCCACAGGAAGCCCCCTGCCCGTTGCTGTGGGGTCTGTTCACCCAACTCCCTCACCCCACTGGTGCTGGTGGTCCCTCTGCTCCCTGGGGACAGTGCTGAGGGTCAGAGCCCCTTTCTGGGGTGGGCATTGGGAATGAGGGGAGCTCCCAGCAGCACCCACAGCCACCCCATCCCTCTGTCACCCACCCAGGGCTGGGACCACCCACTCCCCCCCCATCCCTGTCACCCACCCGGTGCCAGGGCCGCCTGTTTGCGCTGAATTGGCCGCCCGAAAAAATCCAGCTCAGGCTGTGAAAGGCAAAGAGCAGGAGGTTGAGTTGGCTCTGCAGAACCTGCACTTCCAGCTCCCCTTTGGAAAAACAAAGGGAAGTTCCTGTCTGGGCGAGGCTCAGTCACCCCAGGGCAGTTCCAGGGAGAGCAGGAGCCACATGCAAATCCCACAGGAAGGGCCAGGGGGCTGGGTGGGATGCAAACAGATTCAAATCCGGGGGAGGAAGGCAAAATTTCAGGGTGATCGTGCTGAAGTCGGGTTTTACAGCCAGCCAAGGGCTGGAAGTTGAGCCCTGGAGAGGGGCAGTGCCAGGCCACCACCTCTGCTCCCCTTGGCCGCTGTTGGGATGCCCAGGGTGGGATCAGTGGATGGATGCACCTCTCCACAGCTCCCGAGCAGCCCTCCCAACCTACAGCTTGCCCAGAGCCCAAGGTCAGCGATTTCAACCCAAATACCCAGATCTCTTTCCTCCCCCAGCCCTGAAAGCTTCACAGGGCACGTCCGTAACGTCACCCAGATCCACCTCATCCCAAAGCTGCAGTCCCAGCGATGCCTTTACGGGACACACGGTGCTCAACCGGGCTATTAAAAGAAACTGGGCTGAAAAAATTAGATTCCAGTGGAGCCAGTGAGTGTTTGGCAGCCCAGGGAGGCGCTGGTGGGAACTGGGGCAGGGACTGCAGCCCCTCACCTTGTCCTCCACCGCCGCCCTCCGCACGATGTGCTCCAGGCGCTGCTGGTGGTTGGGGGTCCCCAACGGCCTCGTGTCCCCTCGCTCCTCACCGAGGCCATTCCCGGGATCCTGTGGGGAGGAGAGACCTGAGCAAGGGTCCCCTTGGGGTGTCTGAGCTTGGCCCTGCCACCCAGTTGTCACCCAGCCCCCCCAGCCCCTCTATTTGCTGCCGGGTTTGCAACATCCCGAGGGCTTGGAAAGGATTTTTCCACCGTTTCCTGCCTCGCAGCAGCACGGGGGATCAGCCCCAGCTGGAGTCCCCTTCCCTGGGACTTCACAGTAAACAAGGAGCCTCCAGAGATGTTTTTGCCGCATCTCTTTGCCCCACACATCCCCTGGGAGCTCTGCTCCTGCAACGAGGAGCTCTCAGGGATTAATTATCCCCATGGCACCAGGGCAGGCACCAGCCACATCCGAGATGCTTCTCGGCCTTTTCCACCTTCTCCTGCCTCCAGGGGGGTTTTGGCAGTGGGCAGAGTTAACTCTGCTCCACCTGGGGGCTTTGGGATCTTTGGAAGTGAAGCAGGAAGGAAAGGTGCAGGCAGGGAAGAGCAGACACACACAAACCGCAGCCCAACAGACCCAAATTCCCACCTAAAACTCCCAGCTCCTCACAGCCCTCCTCGGAGAGCTGGAGAGTTCAAAGCTTCACCTCCCAGCGAGCATTTCCTTCCAGAACTCCTGCAGACTGGGGCTCAGCCCCCCAGCACGGATGTGCTGCCCAGAGGCAGCTGTGCAGGCACAGGGCTGCGACAGGGGGGGTTAATCCTGGATTTCCACCGGCAGAGCAAAAGCCACCGGCTGCTTTGGAAAACCCACGTCCCCACGCCATCCCCAAGGATTTCACCCACACCCACAGCCCTGCCACCCCCCACAAGTCCCCCTCCCTACCGGGTTCCGTGCCTGCAGCAGCGCCTCCGTCCTCCTCATCTTCTCCAGCTCGATCTCCCTGGCGATGAGCTGCTTGGCCTGGTAGCTGAGCTGCCTGCGGGCCGGCAGCTCCGGGAAGCGGCACACGTCCTCCACGTTCCTGCAGCACGGCCAGGGGGAGCAGGGGCACAGATAACACTGAGAATAACCCAGTACTGTGCAAGCTGGCAGGGCACAGGGAGCCCAGTCACCCCCCAGCCCTGCCCCTTCCACCCCTGAGCGGGATCCTGGCTCAGTGTCCCCAGCGCTGCCCTCTCCCGGGTGGGGCCCGGGGGCTGAACGGGAATGCAGGAGGGATTATGGGGGTTTAATCCGGGTTTTATGGCAAAAAGAGAAAGTGGCAGCGGGGCTGTGCTGAGCAGACTGCCCTGAAAACCCCACGGGCACAGCACGGCCTGGGCACGAGTGGCACCGTGACCTTCACATCGCCCCTCAGGGCCCCTGGGGAGGTGGGTAATGGAAATGCAGCCAGGAACAGTAATCCTGCACCATCAGACCTTAGCAGGACCTGGGGCACCAGCTCTGCAATTAGGCCTGTTTCACTACAGCATCATCCCCAGCTGGGCCACTCCCTCTGCCAGTTCTAAATATTTCATATTTATTCAATATCCTTGCCCTTAAAATAAAGGGAGCCAAGTCCCCTGTCAGATGGTTCTGCAGTCATTTAGAAATTAGCTGTCAAATCAATGTTTTAAAAAGTTATAAAGAGAAAACACAGGTTTTGCTGTCAACAACAGCTTTGTTTGCCAGAGAGATGCTGGTCTACAATTTCCAGGTGTCACTGGGATGTGACACCCCCATGGTCCCCATCATTTTATGGTTGGACTTGATAATCTTGAAGGTCTTTACCTACTTTGATCCTGTGATTCTGTGCACAGCCAGGAAGCAGGCTCAGAACTCACAAAACAGGCAAAGAAATGCCAAAAAGTGGCTCCCAATGTCCCAAAATCTCCCCATGACCATGTGGGGGTGGCATGGGGAGACAGCAGAGGATGGATCCCTCCAGTCCCCACAAGCCTTTCCATGAGGAAGGAACCACACTAAAGCAGTTCAGTGTAATTAGATAGAGCTGCTTGATTTAACAGAGGCTCATTTCTGTAATTAACTTTGCCCAGGAAGGCATTAAGGATGGTCTGTGCTGCCTCTCCAAAGGCTCCCCAGAGCTGATGGCTCTGGCTGTGCTCAGAGCAGAGCCACAGCCAGGTCAAGCAGTGGCCAAGCTGGTAATTTAGAAATTAACCATGGTGACAGCGACCTCCTCTGTGTGATGAGCTCAGGTGGACCAGCTCTGTCCTCTGGTGGCTTCAGTCCCTCTGCCAGCTCCAGTGAGAGCCAAAGGCAGCTGCTTCCTTTCCTTTAATCCCATTAAAGCCAAACCAACTCTGCTCCAGCCTCAGCCTGAGGGATGGTGGGGCAGCTGGACCACGCTGTTGATGGAGCAAAGCCAGCAGTTCCACCTCCTTCCTGAGCTCTCTGCTCTTATTATCCCAGAATCATTATGGAATCCTGGAATGGTTTGGGTTGGAAGGGACCTTAAAGCTCATCCAGTGCCACCCCCTGCCATGGGCAGGGACACCTCCCACCAGCCCAGGGTGCTCCAACCTGGCCTTGGACACTTCCAGGGATCGAGGGGCAGCCACAGCTTCTCTGGGCAACCTGTGCCAGGGCCTGCCCACCCTCCCAGGGAGGGGTTTTGAGCCCCACAGCGTCCCCTCCCCTGGGCACTTACGGATCCAGCTTGTAGACGTACTGGCCCTCGGGCAGGCGCTCCTGGTGGTAGGTGAGGTTGTAGGCCAGCATGGTGCTGATCAGCTCTGCCAGCTGCTGCTTCTCCTTCTGGCTGTAGAGCTGGGTGTTCACCTGGGAGGGAGGGCAGAGCATCACCGACCCAGAGCAACTTCTGAACACACAAACAGCCCGAAGCACAGGGTTTGTCTGTGTGAGGAGGGACAGTTCACACCCAAGCTGTTCAGACCAGGTTTATTCCCTACTAGGGACACACATCCTCCTCAGAGTGCAGTGACCCAGGGGCTAGAAGGGGACTGTGACAGCTCCCCAAAGCCCTGCTCAGCCAAGCCCACCCCAGGTGGAGTCCAAGACCCCTCCACACAGTCAGGTGTCTCAGAATCATGCCCTCAGCTTCCCTCCAGCTTCAGCATCAGCTGCAACATCAAATCAGTCCCGAATCTGGGACGGAACTTTGGGATGGCTCAGCCTGGGCGATGCAGCCCAGGAGATGCCTGTCCCCAGCGCTCAGGGTGAGGTTTGCAGAGGGGACACGTCACCCAGGCAGGGAGGGGGCTCAGGGGCACTCACAGGCCGCAGTTTGGGGGCGATGATGTCCAGCAGCAGGCACAGCACCTCCAACACCAGCACCTGCTGCCCCGCGCGGCTGCGGGCGCCGGGCGTGATCCCCGACACCATGGACACCACCAGGTTCTGCATGTGGGTCAGCTTGGCCAGGGCCTGGGGACAGGGTGGGGACAGCTCAGCCAGCACGTCCCACAGGGCACAGAGCCCCCCCCAGGGCACAGAGCCCCCCCAGGGC